TTTCAGCAAAATATGCTCGACTATTGTTTGCTGAGAAGTCTTTCTCCCTCCATTAATTGAATCCTACTTAAGAGAACAAACATTCACTCTTAGTGCCGTATATGAGCTTCCATTCAAAATCACCGTTGAAAATAAGCTAAGACGTTTTCAGTTCAAACTCATCCACAATATTCTTCCATCCAACCAACGCCTTTGGAAAATGAATGTTAAATCTTCTCCAAAATGTAAACAATGTGATGCTCCCTGTGAAACTATTAGCCATATATTTTACGAGTGTCCTGCCATCAAATTTTTTTTGGGAAAAGTAATAGATTGGTGGAATCGTAAACGTTCTGAAAACATAAATCCCAATCCAACGGAAGTTCTTTATGGAAACAAACCTGAATCTAACAGATTTCATACTGTTAACCATTATCTCTTAATTGCTAGAAATTACGTTTACTTAGCTAGAAACAAGTTTGAGACCAGAGAACTGGAGGTTTTCATTGTTCTCCTGGAAATTAAAATCCAGTGCGAAAGAGAAATTGCAATAACAAACGGAAATCTTAACAAATACATAAATAGATGGACCACCCTGTGCATTTCTGATTAGTGTTGATTTATAGTAATTTAGCAAACGCGCGCTATTATTATTTTTCTATTTGTTCTTCCAGTTGTTGTTAATCTGTTAAAACTTTCGTACTTCGCTTTTTTTGTTTGTTTGTTTTTTTACTGTTTTGCCTCCTTTTTTTCGCGCTGTTATTGTAAAGTTTATTGTAATGATGTTGAATAAATAAATTAAAAAATAATAGAATAAATAAATAAAATAAGGCTTCATCGTCAAGAGTTTTTTTCTATTTTAGTTTAATAACACTTCTACAAATGATCAGTTCTGTTTATATTAACAAGTTGAAGTTTATGAGCTGCAGAGTATAGATGTAATAAGCTTTGAAATTTTGTCTGCTGTTTCAACTTGGACTTTCCAAATTGCCTTCCTTGGAAGTGGACATGCGAAAGCGCCGTTAATTATTTGTAGCCATTTTGACTAACAAATAAAATAAACCTCTTTTTAGGAAGAGGGTGATTCATTTAGTGCAAGGTTCGAGTCGTTCAAGCTCTTTAAGTGGTACGCTTGAAATAGAGATACCTTAAAGCCATGTACAGTACCAATCCATCAGGTCTAGCCCTCGTAGACATAAAGGAAGGAGTTACCTAAGTAGTGGTAGAGGGATGATTTAGGCCGTTTTGGTGTCTAGTAGGTGTCTAGCAAGGTCTAGCTAGGTCTAGTCAATGACGTCACCTCATTTATTTAGTAAAACATATGTGTCTAGTAGGTGTCTAGTCACTGTCTTCCTGCATACTAATTCAGTTCCATATACCCTCCTCCATATTAATAAGCGTCTTCCTCTATATCTAATGAGCGTCTCTCTTATACAATAGGAACAATAGGCCTGGCTAGGTTTGCCCCGTAAGTAACTTGCGCCCGGTTTCTCGGACCGTCTATTAAAAAAGTAGGAATAAGAGGAGCGATCACATAGCAACGCGAGAAACGGCTTATGCCCGTAGGCTGGGGTACTTGGGTTAATTTTTGCTGGGTATATGCCGCTGGCCTCTCAGAGCCCTTACCCCATTATAGCGGAGCACCATGGGTAAGTAAATCTACTCATCCCAGAAAATTTGGTAATCAAGTGACCGTACACCGAACGAACGACCAACCGTCCATCCGCACCACAGGCATAACAATGTTTCCTCTCACACTTTCTAGCTACTTTGGGAGCCCAGGAGAAAACTGATTGCACATCAATGTTGTAATCAATTGACAGCTGTCAAAACCAGGTACCCGCTGACCAGTATCACCTGACCGTATCGCGTGCTCGGGTGTTGAGCCATCAGGTCGAGTATTTTTTGAAGTTATCCGCTGACAAATTTCTAGTTTTCAAATGGTCGCAGGCTCAATTTTTTTAAAAAACTTCATATGAAGTATGTTGTGTTTGTCACTATGGCCCGCACTATAAAAATTTTGATTTTAAACTGACCTCGGACGCGAAAATTCAGCCAGTTATTCAAAACTGCAAGCAGGGAAGACAGATTCTTTTCAGTTTACTCACCATAGTCACGCGTTGGTCACGCTCTACGTCCAATTGTCATGCTATGATTGGTCAAAATTTGACAGTTGAGTTCATGCGGAAGATTTATGCAGCATCTTGCAACTTGTTTACCGATCAGCTGAAGCTGACAGAGTTTTGTGTTAACTTGTGATGTTTTTAATGTCTTTTTTCACTGGATGTACAAAATGAAATACGGCTGCTATAAAGAGTCTTCTGTTATTCATGGCTGGTTTGTTTATTGAATTTTTGGTTGAGAAATGCCGCCACTTGCCAAAGTCGAAAATCCGATTTCGGATGGCATCGTTTCGTTTTTAACCCTGCTGGATGCGTAAGATGGTTGAAAAGTATCAAGCGATTCTGGCCTTACTTGATAGCTTTCAGGAGCTGCATCTCGAATGGTAAGCCTGAGTTATTATTGTTTTTGTGGTTGTTTTTTTCTTATATCTAATTTCATGAAGTCGAGCGTAGTTTATGAGGCTAGTTTATGCACGTTTGTAATAAAGATTTCAGACACTGATCTGACCTAGTATATATGAGGTTTGATGTAAGCTTAAGCTTACAGAACTTTAAAAAGCCTTTAGTCGATATTTTCTCACTGCAAATAGAAAGAAAAAAAGTTCCGAAGAATATTTAGTTATAATTTTGCCTGCAGAAAGAAAGCTTTAAGCGATTTTCTTGCCTCGAGTTCATCTTTGAAAACAGCAAACACCGGGAAGCTGGCTTAAAACATAAACTTTAACCTTAAAATCTCGGGATTCTTAGAGAGTACACTTTAATACTTGTTTTCGTGAATACAAATTGTTGTCTCTGTAAACGTTTCACCGAGTTATATTTCTTTTATTGATCGTTAGTAGGCTCTTGCAATTTTAATCGCTTTGCCGTTTGTTTTCAGTCGTTCGTTAACATCGCTTGCTGGAGAACTCAAAATGCCGCGCGTATGTGTAAGATTACACGTCGTTATAAAACCATTAAATAAGAAATAAACACAACACATTCTTTATTATGTTGAAGCGTAACTCTTTTAATGTTCACTGTAAATTTGGCGCTTGTCAAAAGTGAGAACCGGCTGGCCGTATAGTTGATTTTGGAAATTTTTTGAACGGTTTCGTTAAAAGCCCACGCGTGCTTCGAGTGGTCCTGAATATTAAAGAAATGCAATTTGTCTTGAAAAATTGCGAAATATTGCATTTTGTCTGAGGTCTGTATGATAAAAACAACGCCTCATAGTACTCTTTCACCTTAGATGTGATGTTTAAAAAGTACAAAAGGTTGGTTTACACGCACCCAGATTTGTTGGCAAGATTTTGTAAAGTAAACTTGTCGAACGCAAAAAAAAATTCTGCCTGATTTGTTTTCCAGGCCTAATCTACTGTGATCAAGAGCCATTATGGCTCTTAAAAGTGATCGAAGATGATTACTATTTTTTGGGAAAACATATAACGCTATCAACTCGATGGAAGACTGCTTCACTCTAAAATTACTTAGCCTTTCCCTCAAAAGTCACATATGTGCCCTTAAGTTAACTGATTTGTGGAGTACAAGTTTATTGTTTGATTTAAATTATAAATTTATTAATGGGAGCTTCGCTTTCAGCCCTGGATAAATCTATATATTAGTCTATTCTGTGGCCAATTATAGACCCCATTTTACTCACTTTTGGGCAAATATGCAATTTTCGCGATCCCACTTTAGTCACTTTCTATTTATGTATCTACCCTATATTGAACGAAGAACACTCTACGTTTCACCTACAGTACAAACATTCTGGTACCTTTGCTAACCGTAAATATGAAGAACTGTCTTACCCCAAAAGTCAGAAAATGTGCGACCCCATTGTAGTAACTCTATTGAAAATGCGACCCCATTATAGTCAATCCAGTCGTGAAAATCCGACCTATCTCGAGGAGAAGACTAACTATTGAAGTCCCAGCGCTTTGTGGGTAAAATAATGATAAAAAAACATTCAGGATTAATTGAAACAAGCGACTAATAAATGGTCGGAATAAAACCAGACGCATTTCTTTTAAAGACACAAGAAATCAACTTTATGACCCTTAAATAACTGCAAAGACAAAATATTCAGTGATTTTTAAGAAATCTATTAGTAGACCAAAAAAGGAAATCTAGCTCTTTTTTACACAATGTATATTTTTTACTTACCCCACCCCTCCTTATTTTTTTGGTTTTCATTAGTTTCCCTCCTCCTCCTCATACGTTATGCAAAGTTGATACCCTCTCTGGTATACGCTTTTAGTATTTTTGAATACTCAGATTGCTATAATTTTAATGAAGTGATAGAGTTAGGTTTATGATACGTTATACGACAATTTTTAGCAAGGTGTTTTCGTGACCGTTGTTTTGATAGGCGCACTCTTGGGAATCTCAGCTTTGACCTATTTACCCCTTGCGAAATCGACGCCGGAGCGTGATGCGATTCTCTTCGTTTTTGCTCTGAAACAGACAGACATTCCGACGATTAAACGATATGGCGTTTGTATACTCACTGAAGTCTATTAAACAACATATAAATGGACCTGCAGCGAATCAGATTTTTCGGCATACCAGAATTTCATTCGATATTCACACAGATCCACTCTTAAAAAGTCAGAGATCGTCTAAAAGCTCAACAGAACTTGCTTGCATTTGATCTCCTGCCTCGTAAAAATGCAATAGGTTATGCGTATAAATATGTAGGGTAAATAAAGAGACTTCTTCTACTCGTAAATGTATTTCTAAGATTTGTGCTGCTTATTGTTTACCCCCATGTAGCTCTAAAGAATTTGCTATGAGAAAAGAGGAAACAGAAGTCAAGAAAGAATGATGCAACGATAAAAAACTTTTCTTCATACATCAAGGATCGGGACCTTCAGGAAGCGATACAACTAGCTATATTAGGACTTTAGAAGATAAAAAATGACAGAGGGGACATTAAAAAATATAGATGACCTCGAAAAGCATCTTACAAAAGCCAAAGCGAATAACAACCGAACAGAGGAAGAACATACTTACAACAGCCTCGGCAACGCTTATTTCTCCCTCAGCAACTTCCACAGAGCAATATATTACCACAACCAACACCTGAGCATTGCCCAGGAAGTCGGCGACAGGGCCGGAGAAGGACGTGCCTATGCCAATCTCGGCTATGCTTATCACTCCCTCGGCAAGTTCCAAGAAGCAATAAATTATCACAACCAACACCTGAGCATTGCCCAGGAAGTCGGCGACATGGCCGGAGAAGGACGTGCCTATTGCAATCTCGGCAATGCTTATGGCTCCCTCGGCAAATTCCAAGAAGCAATAAATTACCACAACCAAGACCTGAACATTGCCCAGGAAGTCGGCGGCAGGGCCGGAGAAGGACGAGCCTATTGCAATCTCGGGAATGCTTATCACTCCCTCGGCAAATTCCAAGAAGCGATAAATTACCACAACCAGCACCTGAGCATTGCCCAGGAAGTCGGCGACAGGGCAAGAGAAGGACGTGCCTATTGCAATCTCGGCATTGCTTATCACTCCCTCGGCGAATACCAAGAAGCGATAAATTACCACAACCAACACCTGAGCATTGCCCAGGAAGTCGGCGACAGGGCCGGAGAAGGACGCGCCTATGCCAATCTCGGCAATGCTTCTCACTCCCTCGGCAAATTTCAAGAAGCGATAAATTACCACAACCAACACCTGAGCATTGCCCAGGAAGTCGGCGACAGGGCCGGAGAAGGACGTGCCTATTGCAATCTCGGCATTGCTTATCGCTCCCTCGGCAAATTTCAAGAAGCGATAAATTACCACAACCAACACCTGAGCATTGCCCAGGAAGTCGGCGACAGGGCCGGAGAAGGACGTGCCTATTGCAATCTCGGCAATGCTTATCGCTCCCTCGGCAAATACCAAGAAGCGATAAATTGCCACAACCAAGACCTGAGCATTGCCCAGGAAGTCGGCGACAGGGCCGGAGAAGGACGTGCCTATGGCAATCTCGGCAATGCTTATCACTCCCTCGGCAAATTCCAACAAGCAATAAATTACCACAACCAGCACCTGAGCATTGCCCAGGAAGTCGGCGACAGGGCCTGTGAAGGACGTGCCTATCGCAATCTCGGCAATGCTTATCACTCCCTCGGCAAATACCAAGAAGCGATAAATTGCCACAACCAAGACCTGAGCATTGCCCAGGAAGTCGGCGACAGGGCCGGAGAAGGACGTGCCTATGGCAATCTCGGCAATGCTTATCACTCCCTCGGCAAATTCCAACAAGCAATAAATTACCACAACCAGCACCTGGGCATTGCCCAGGAAGTCGGCGACAGGGCCTGTGAAGGACGTGCCTATCGCAATCTCGGCAATGCCTATCACTTCCTCGGCAAATTCCAAGAAGCGATAAATTGCCACAACCAAGACCTGAGCATTGCCCAGGAAGTCGGCGACAGGGCCGGAGAAGGACGTGCCTATGGCAATCTCGGCAATGCTTATCACTCCCTCGGCAAATTCCAACAAGCAATAAATTACCACAACCAGCACCTGAGCATTGCCCAGGAAGTCGGCGACAGGGCCTGTGAAGGACGTGCCTATCGCAATCTCGGCAATGCTTATGACTCCCTCGGCAAATTCCAAGAAGCAATAAATTACCACAACCAAGACCTGAGCATTGCCCAGGAAGTCGGCGACAGGGCCGGAGAAGGATGTGCCTATGGCAATCTCGGCAATGTTTATGACTCCCTCGGCAAATTCCAAGAAGCAATAAATTACCACAACAAACACCTGAGCATTGCCCAGGAAGTCGGCGGCAGGGCCTGTGAAGGACGTGCCTATGGCAATCTCGGCAATGCTTATCACTCCCTCGGCAAATACCAAGAAGCGATAAATTACCACAACCAAGACCTGAGCATTGCCCAGGAAGTCGGCGACAGGGCCTGTGAAGGACGTGCCTATGGCAATCTCGGCAATGCTTATCACTCCCTCGGCAAATACCAAGAAGCGATAAATTACCACAACCAAGACCTGAGCATTGCCCAGGAAGTCGGCGACAGGGCCGGAGAAGGATGTGCCTATGGCAATCTCGGCAATGCTTATGACTCCCTCGGCAAATTCCAAGAAGCAAAAAATTACTTCAACAAACGCCTGAGTATTGCCCAGGAAGTCGGCGACAGGGCCTGTGAAGGACGTGCCTATGGCAGTCTTGGCAATTTTCACTACTCCCTCGAAGACTTTCAACAAGCAATAAAGAATCACAAGAAATGCTTGAGCATTGCCAAGGAAGTCCGCGACAGAAAGGGAGAAGGAATTGCCTATTGCAATCTCGCCGAAGCTTATTTGTCCCTCGACGAGTTTCAACAAGCAATAGAGTACTTCTCAAAGCATCTGTGCATTGCCGAGGAAGTCGGTGACAAGTCTTCTGAAGGACAAGCATATTACGCACTGGGTATTTCTCTTTCAAGGTTAGGTCGTTGGAATGAGGCTTTATTTCATTTTATCACCAGCGTAGAAATCCTTGATGCTATCAGGGCCAGTTGCATTTCGGAAGATGCACTGAAAATAAGTTTTCGTAATCTTTGTAAAGGTGCCTACACTAGTTTATGGCAAGTTCTAATAGAGCTTCAATTGACGGATGAGGCTTTATACGCTGCCGAGAAGGGACGAGCACAGGCCTTAGTAGATGCGTTGAAAATAAATTATGGCTTAACATCACTTTCGCTCAAGTCAAATGAATCTGAAGAAGAACTCACAATCATTTTAAAGAAGATATCTGTTTCGACAGTTTTTCTGGCAGTTCAAAAAGAAACAATCAATATGTGGGTCATGAGGAAGGAAAGGAAAGCAATTTTTAGGCAAGCGGAGCTTAAAGTTGAAAGAGCGCACGAAGATTATTTTGCTGTACTTTTAGAAACTACCTTGAAAAACATTAGGGCTGGCGTCGATGTTCGGTGCGAGAATCGGTCATTAGATGAGCGAAAGGATAACCAAACTTCCAGCACTGAAAAGGATGATCAAACATCGGAGCTGTCGCACGATACTATCGACTGTTTTAAGCCACTGTATAATGCAGTCATTGGTCCCATTGAAGACTTGCTTCCTGATGATGAACTCATTGTAGTCCCTGATGGCGCTTTGTCCTTAGCTCCATGGACCGCGCTAAGTGAATCTTTAAGGATCCGCACAGTTCCCTCACTGACAAGTCTGAAATTCATCATAGATTCTCCAGATGAATACCACTGTAAAAGTGGCGCCCTGCTTGTTGGAGATCCATGTCTGAAGAAAGTTACAAATAAAGGGGGTTATCCTATTTATGATCAACTGAAATACGCAAAACAGGAAGTGGAGATGATTGGAGAAATTCTTAAGTGCCAGCCACTGACGGGAGAAGGAGCGACCAAAAAAGAATTTCTTCGCAGAATAAATTCAGTTGCTTTGGTTCACATTGCAGCACACGGAAGTAAAGAAACTGGTGAAATTGCTTTGGCTCCAGACCCTTGCTGGGAATCCAAGATTCCTGAGGAGGAGTATTTTTTGAGAATGTCTGATATACAAGCTATTAAACTGAGAGCCAGGCTGGTTGTCCTTAGTTGCTGTCATAGTGGTCAAGGAGAGGTCTCGTCTGAGGGTGTGGTCGGTATTGCTCGGGCTTTCTTGTTTGCTGGTGCTCGTTCCGTGGTGGCGACACTCTGGGCAATTGATGACGAAGCAACCCTGGAGTTTATGAAAAGTTTTTACCAACACCTGAGGGGTGGAGAAAGTGCTAGTTCTGCTCTTCAGAGGGCCATGAAATGTCTCCGGGACTCGGACAAGTTTTCTGCGCCAAAGTACTGGGCTCCATTTGTACTGATTGGCGATGACGTTACGATTGAATTTGATGAAAGTAACCGCGAAAGTGGTAAGTAGTCGTAAGTTTTTCTTTAATTTGTAAATTTTGGATTTCATTGTCTCGAATCCCAAAAACATAAGTTGTAAAAATAAGAATCAAAAAGCATCTTTTAAAAAGATTTAAGATAATTGGCAGATTCGTTTGTAGCTGGGAAAGCAAGTGGAAATCTTGAAAAATAAGAATGGAATGGGTGCCTACTGTTCGATTGCTATGGATTGACTCAATAAGATTCTATTCGTTACAAACTGTTAACAGTTAATAAAACATTGAAGATGACGCTTCAATTTTCTTAAAGAATCTGATCACTCACTTTGCATTGCTGGCCTATGTTGTTGTTATCCTGAGAGAAGATTATAATACATTCCGTTATTGGGTCAAAGATGACAATTTAAGACATCAGCGAGAGAAAATAGCTCTAATATTTCACAAATGCCAGTTACAAAGAAAAGTGAGTAGCAGTGAAAAAAATTTTGTGGACAATAGGGAGCCTCAATGCAAATACCGTAAACTGCCACTTAAAAGCCCCTCCCCCTCCCCACCCCCCACCCCAGTTATATGACCATCTGCCTGTAAACATAAAAATACATCGATTATAAGCCCCCTCCAAATGTGTGGAACTGAATTTGATTTATTATGGCGTTTTGAACCTTAATTAAAGACAGCAAATGCAAAAAGTACTTTGATCAACACCGCTATAGCTTATCTCGAAGCGCTTTCTCTATTCCGGTTATCATCTCCCTCGGATATAAGCCTCTCCGTTCTATAAGCTCTTCTAAAACCCCTTACGAACATGGTTACTTCAACCTATTTAGCGGCGATGTGTATAAAAGATGATAATCAAACAACTGTCTTCGTTTTTTGGTTGGTAGATTTGGAGGTCAGCTGTTTTTAATAATAAAAGAGATTGCTTATACATCTTCGGACAGGTATGTGAACGCTAAAGGTTTTGCTATGAGCTCCAGTCAAAGTTTGATTTTACTCTGTACAAGGCTCCTATTTTATTTTATCGAGAATGGGAAATACAATGATTTATCAGTTGGATGACTCATGAAAACATCATGAAAATCCTCTCGGTTAATCATTTGCCTTGTTTTGCTGTCAAGTTTCAAATTTATTTCGTCCTTGACATCGTGCACTATTTGAAGGCGTTATTTTTCTGAAGTGTATTAATGCAGTATATGTTATTTTCTTCTGTTACAGGGAACGCTGATATGTGATGTCAGAGAGAGTGTCGTGTTTACCCAAACAGAAAAGGCTTCCCGTTTAAGAGACTGTGGGATACCAAAAACACATTTTTTTTGCCAGATGGAATTTTACTATCGATAGGCCATTTTCACAATAACGTCATTTTACTACTTAACTGCCAGAATCCTTCAGGGTTTTGCCCTGTTTGCAAATTAGGGCTTTTGTTGTTTAAACCTCGCTAGGATTACTAAGAATGGCTATGAAAGGGAAAACAAAAAATAGGATTCTGGTCGAAGTAATAAAATCACGTCAACGTGTAAATGGCCTATTTTAATTAATATTTAATAACAGTAGAATATGAGACCGTAAAAGCCTTTTTTAACTTTAGAAAAAGGTTTAGTTTAACCACAACAACTTAAGACTAATGGAACGAAGCAGCATTTAATAAATACGTAAACAGCAGTATTTGACATATGCTGCTTTTCGCCTCATGTAAGGGAATCCAAGACAGTCTTGGATTCTGGATTCCACGCCGTTGATTCCTGATTCCAGGCACTTGATTCTAGTTTTTTGTAGTGGAACCTTGGATTGGATTCCAATCCTTAGTAGGATTCCGGATTCGTTGAGCTGTATTCTGCATTCCAAAGCCCAGGATTCCAGATTCCACAATAAAAAATTTCGCGAATTCCAGAACCTGCAGGATTCCATCACATGGGCCGATGCTTTTGTTAATATTTTGTTATATATCGTCAATAATCGTTTGACCCCAATGCAAGAGTCATGTTGATCATAATCATCAGTAGATGAATAAGAGAGTGTAGTCGTGAAAAGGACTATTGATGACAGTGACTGAGCATCAAAGTGAATTGTATATTGTCAAACTCTGGCCCTGATTTGTCAACAAAGCCGTGATGTTATTGGTCGTCAGTCAATAACACCAAAATACTATTGTTCTAAAAGACTCTAAGTTCGAATGGTGAGTTTCGATCCGATCCGTCGTTTTTCACTTTGACATCTGTCACTTTATAGTTAGTCCCACTTTCGGCTTTTGCTCAGTCAGTTTGTTCAATTTTTGACTTTAGATTAATGTTTGTATTTGTAACGTTTTATTGGAAAGCATAAGATAAGCTAAGATAGTCAGTCCAAACTAAGGATAGAGGGTATCCGAAAACAAGTATTTTGTTTCTTTTTTTTTAAACTCTAACCAACAGCATTAAATATTTGCACTGAACACGCAGCATAACTTTTTAAGGACATGTCCACACTAATGTGTTATCAAAACTGATCAAAACGCCTCCGGTTTTGGCGATCACGAAAACGGCAACGAAACTATGGATGTCCATACTTTCGTATAAGTTTCGTTTTCTAGAGTCAGTTCTAAACTAGGCAAAACACATATCTGGAGACAAATGTTTTGGCTCCCAGGGTATTCTAAACGGCGTGTCACCGCATTCGTAAACCTCTGTTTTTGCTCTTTATACTTACATAGCCGTTGACCTCCATTTTGAAAAGTCTCCACCTTTGAGGCCCTTTTATGAAAACATCCCCTTTTTTTCTCGTTTTAGTGTGGACGAAAAGCCAAAACGCATTAAAGGCAGGAGTTTCAAAACAATTATGCTCTAGTGGGAAGCCGCCATAGGTTATTTAGTGAGTCAGTAAATCGAGCGCACATTATTCGTGTACTACGACGTGAGTGCAGTATGATTTGTAATTGCTGATAACCCATGTATCAGAGCTGTGGTTCAGAATAGTTGTAATACCTTTTTCGTGCCATTAATTTAATGCCAATTGTAATTGTTGTTTTACTGAGTTATAAAACAGGCTGTTATCAAACAGATCAGTTTCAGATCGCTAGTCCACAACGTGCTGTGGTTTGGTGCTAAGAAACAACAGCAATCGTTCAACTATGACTGCTTTAAAATCTGACCGGTGTTTTGTTTCCTGTACTATCGAGTTTTCCAGGCTATAGATTTGGAGCATAGCCTGGGGTATTCATATCACGTCACATTAGGACGTAACTGCTTTTAACTGCTTAGGCTTAATCCCAGCGCGTTGCGTAGCACAGTGATCAGGTTTTTGATGTTACATTGTGCCCATAGCTTAGTAATGTTGTATTAATTTTAACCTGAATAAAAGGAGACGTTAAGTGCAATTGCTGATCTCAATGATTACAAAAAATATTTTAAAAAGACACTTATCCTTTACACTTCCTCGACAGAGGCCCTGAAGGCATCGTCGATTAGGGATGGTCGTATCAAGAAAAGCGACCTGAATTCGAGAAGAATAGGTATTGTTTTGTATTGTTATTTTTGATCGTTTCTTGCCGTTTAAGGACAAAAACAATCAACGTGAAACAATAGCTTTTACGCGCGGCAAATTTCAACATTACCGATTACTTCTTTCCGATGCGATTTGAATTTTCGGCGGGACCGAAGTAAGGAGCAATTTCACCTTAGGGAGTGGGTAGGAGTGTTAGTTGACTGGCGAAACGGACGACGCAGTATTGACGGGTGAGGCAAGTGCCGAACAGACGAGCGAACAAACCCGAACCGTATTGTTTATTTTGCGCTTGGCGTACTGGCTGCAAATTTTAAGAAAACATACTTCATTTTTTATGGTAAACATCGTAGTAACAATTATAAGGAATTTTAACCACGGATTGAATCGAAAGAGCCGAGAACTTACAATTCAGGTGGTTTGATTGCGGCGCTCTGATCAGTGGTTTTAACAACCCGCTTTATCATGTATTCTGTTGCCGCGTTGGCACTGTTTGAATTCTGCGCCAGGAAATTTTATTCTTCATGTAAATGACGGTCATATTTTACAGTCGTTAGTTTGAACTAGAATTAACTTCTTTGAATAAAAATCACATCCCATTGAATGCATTGGAGTCTATCTTTTTGTCGAGGGTCGAGGGTACCATGTCGAGGGTAACAATTTTTTTAATTTTTTTTTGGAAAAATGGAAAACAAATAAGAAGAATTTAAAAAACAAATGGCGCGTGGACATCTCCATCCATATAATAAAAAATGTCGTAAAACAAGTTTAAAAAACTGATTTAACTGATATATTAAATTACTGTCAAAATGAGCTTGGCCGCCTGTGGAAGCAGGAATTACAAAATGACGAATAAAGGATATGCGGCTAAATTAGCCATAAAGGCTAGGCCCTAACCTAACCCTTCCAACTTTTCCCAGTTTTTGGCTAGGCGGACCGACCCATCTTCATGTTGTTGTTTAATTAAAAGAGGGTGCGAATGGGGTTAACAGTTACGATTTAACTGATATTTGGCCAAAAAAAAAACAGTAGCTAACTGATAATTGGCCAAAAAAGTAGTAGTTAACTGATAAATGAAAAGTTAACAGTTAAGTGATATTATTATAATGCTAATGAAAACAACAAAGTTCTGTAGACAGAAATGCTATTTTCTGGCCTTTTTTGTCCCGCTGATGACCCGGTGGGACCTTAACTGATATAGCTATGTGCAAACGGCACCAGGGCCATAGGCGTACGGGCCGGGGGGGGGGCGAGGGGGGCTGCAGCCCCCCCAAACTTTGGGCAACTCAGATTTTTTGGGCAGCGAGAGAAAATTTGGGCAAAACCAGTTTTTTAACACGTTTCCGTGTTTTTTAAATCATTATTTTTAGGAGATAAATATCTTCTATTTTAACCTGAAGTTGGCTTAATAATCCAGTACTGTTACATTCACACGAGACAGCTAGTGGTTGCCTTGCACGTAATGAGTTTTGGTTATAAGGGAAGGGTATCATGTGCTGCAATGGGGTATTTCCAAACTCCCGCCTAACTTTCTTGAATCATCTCCGCTCGTAGAACAGTGTATGGCAGATAGCATCAGTAATGGATCTGAAAGTGAAGAAGTGGCTGACCAATTCTCAGTTTGAATTACGCGAAGAATCGTAATTTTTTTTAAAAAAATCTTTCGAGTGGTTTAAAAATTATTCACTAATTTGTTAAAGTAGACCAAAATGTTTACAAAACCGCTACCAAGAGCGCCATGTTACATACTAAATACTCAAATCCTTTTTTGGCCAGAGCTATCTCCATGATCTTTTACCAACGTTTTTAAAACGATTGAAACTACTATGAGGTGAAATTGCATGTCAAAAGCACTTTGTTTTCTACAGATAACGGCCAAACATCAAGATTTTCCTTTTTTACCGTATTTCTAACGATAAAAACTTTATCCCAAAATATCTCCGCAATGCTTTTACAGATTCCGTTTTAACTTCACGAACATCGAGGCGACTGTTGGAGGAAAATGCTTCCGTGAACTCCGATGTTATTGCGACCCGGATCATAACAAATTTTCATCTTTATCTAATACAACTGTGGTGGCAATTTTTCCAGCTGTCTGTTTATGGTGTCGTAGTCTATGCTCAAAAAAACTTCACAGGTATTGACCCTGAAAAACTGTATCAAGCCACTTTCATATGCTAGTACGGCCCATGTTGTTGCATCGTATGGCCCTCGTTTCTGTTCGTCTGTTTTGTAAAAATTTGGGCAACTTGCAAGAATGGTTTACCGCCCCCTCTGGCAAAAAATTCCCCGTGCGCCTATGACCAGGGCAGTACCCGACAAACAGAAAGCGTCAGTCAAAGAGCTGGTTCACCTGGTTGTAGACAACTCAACGAATAATTCGTCTTACAATATTACTTTTTTTTTTTATGTTACAGTTAACTGACGGCCCAGAAGAATTTTCAGGTATTCAAGGCTCTTGTTGTGGCTGCTGAGAAAATACCGTTAAACGTTCTCAATCACAGATTTGAGACTTGAAGTTTGCACGTGCTTGACAGTTGATTAAATATTTCTGTGGACAATGTGCGCACACATGCATTTCCTCCTATTATTGAGAGAGGACTGGGACGAGTTTCAAAATGGCATATCAGGGAAGGGGGAAGAATGCATTAAATAATCCGAGATATCACAGTTAGGACGCAATTTGATAAAGATGACGCTGAAATGAAAATCAAGTAAGATAGCACACGCGCAACGTTCAACGTCCAAATATCGAGGTTCAGTCCCGTGAGAAAGTCGAACTCAGAACACGCGTACTGCTTACGTTATGCACATTCCAACAACACTTTGAGTCTCATCTCGGCAAGAATCAAACGCAACCGAAAATTCTAATAGCGTTTCTCTTCAGCAGTCAACTTCATTTTATTAATGTTTACACTTTGCATGCCCTTTTTCACGGCGGCCATCTTGTTATGCGCAATAAAAGATGCGCAGTGCAGAACCAGCGAATGCAGCAGGGCTCGCAAAAAGTGCCGTGCGGTCGTCCCCGGGACAAGTAGATTTTCTTGCTGGGCGAGGAAATTGCCCACATGGAAGCAAGAAGTGACCCTGGGCAAGACAATGTGAGAGCTGCTTGCCCATAGGACAAGCATGGATATATCCATGGGACACGCCAGCTGGATATTCAAATTTTCTTCCAGTCCAGCCCCGTGTGCAGCTGAGCTGGTCTGGCCAAAACAACGCGTGGTTACGTGGCTTGATACCTTGAGTTCAAAGTGGCGGACAGCAGTGTTGTAAGCTGAGTTAACCCTTGCAAAGGAGGTTTTTGAACATGTTTGGCGGTGGGAATAATTTGGAAAGTATCCACATATTTGCATTTAACAATTGACAATGATTTATTAACCATGTTAACCATGTTTACATTTAATTTGATGGTTTGATGATACAACCTAAGCTCAGCTGCAGGTGTCACGTTTGTTGGCTTTAAGTCACGACCCTAAAGACATATTGGAACCTTAGAGAACCCTGAAGTAATGGTTCAGTTTTATTTAAAATCATAAAGTAAATCTGCAACTAATATATACCTACAAACTATAAGTCTTCTTTGACTTTCAAATGCCAAGATTGAATGGAAACACTTAACAGTGTAATAAACTTTGTTAATATTTATTCAAAATATTTCACCAATTCTGACTGGTTAAAAGTACACACATAATTCACCATAACCAGTTACTGATGACCAAATTTGGAAGAATTTTGTGTTTAACGAGGAAATGACGTCAAAAATGCAGCCTGTCACAGGTTAAGGCACTGTTACTGAGAAGACTTGGGGACGAGGTTGATTTGTTTTGGTTGTTTGGTTGTAAAAAATTTCGTAAAAAAAAGGCAGACATTTCATTCATTTCAAGAGTAAGAACTACAGCTGGAACTAGGCGAAATAATAGCTAAAAACATGGCAAAAACAACAAGAAGACAACTCGGAGGGCGACATAATTATCTGCTATTTGGAGAATATTTACAGAGCTGGACATACCTAAACATACACTATCGAAGATGAACTTAACATCGAGGCAGTTATTAAGCATGTTTTAGCTATGTTTTTAAACTAGGAATTATTTTGAATGAATAACTGTGGAACTCACTATGAATTAAGTCAACTTGTACTTTCCATATGCTCGTCCTTGTGTCAGTTATAATATAGTTTTTTTTCCTTAGGGCGCTTTACTAAAAGTTAAAACTACACTGTAACTGGCTATTATTTACCAGACCAAAGTAAAATATTTGTCTTGATTGTCCAAGTGTTAGTAAATGTTCGCTAAAACAGGGCACTGTCGGTGCCTTAACTAATTACATGTAGAGATAGAGCCCGGTCTGGCTGGATAGTCCTTGGTATTATGTTGTGAAATTCTCTTTATGATGGAACTCATCTGGCTGGCCAAAAGTTCTGACAGATACTATGCTCTGTTAGATCTGTACTGGTAGATTGTTTTCCCAGTCTCTCTTTGTGTTCATTTGCTTTGTTGTTATATAGAAATGTAACAGCAATTTGACTTGTTTTCCTCAGTTTTTTTGTTATATAAGATGATTATCATGACCATTGTCATCTCAATTTTTATAGCTGTTTTTGTAACATTATCATCTTTTGATAATGTTGAAATCCAATACTAGCATTGACCATTTTTACAGCTACATGCTGTATTTTGAAGTGGCAAAAATTTGCTAAAGTGTAGGAGCTGGCTTATTATCAAAAAAAAAGTAATGAGTAAATTTTGTAACATTTCAATATATAATTTTAAGGCGATCTCCTATATTTTCCTTGACAAATGTTTTTACTTTTATAGAACAACTTTTTAATTTAAAGGTAAGAAATATCAGTTCCATTGGCCTGGCATCCATGTTTTGACATGTCTGACTGAGGGTGGTTGACATTTCTTATTTTTTCAGCTGTTGGAAATTTGGCAGTAGTATTATTATTAGTCTACTGCCTCCTAAGTTTCTGTCTAAGAGAGGTGTCTGTCTTATAAAGAAACAAATAAAGGGAGTAAAGAAAGGCAGGGACCAAGTGACAGGTGTCCGTTTACAGAGGGGTCCATTAAGAGAGTGACTACTTGGTGTGACTACTTTTCTTTTACATCAGTTTGCAGCCAAGAACTTAGTGAGGTCGTCTCAGAAGTGTGAAAAGGAGGAAAAAGCAGAGAAACTGAAGTTAAAGAAGGTAAAATGAAATGAAATGAAAACTTTATTTATTTGTTTAGCTTTCATGACAGCTAATGGTGGACACAGATTATCTACATTAGTAATAAAATAATATCTTTAATAAAAAACAAGACACTAAATATTTGGGCGACATTTATTTGTTGCTAGGCATATGTGTATTTAAGTTGCATAACTGCACTATGGTAAGGACCCCCATAAATTTTGTATGTACTCACTGCAGGTAAAAATAATGTGAATTGATGGCAATAATTATTTCTGAGAAATACATCGTAAGTTGTTTGAAGTACATTGTATTTTCATGTCAATGAAACAACAGACATATATGCCCTTGCAAGCGAGCGATAAAAGAAATTAAACAAACTTAACTATAGTTCATGATCTTGAAGCCTGAGTCCTAACAAACAATTTTAATAAGTATCATAATTTTCCGTTTTGTGTGAAGTCATTAGTTATTCTGGTGGATCAGGACTGTCAATCACAAGCATGCTGAAATGAAATCTGATGCCAATATAAATTTCATATTTTTACATGGGATAGGTGGTAACAGTAATGCAAGTCTTGTAGCATATCATTTTGTTGAAACACAGAAAAATAGCATTGTGAAAAATAGTTGTTTCCTCTGTGGGACTATATGTGAATTTTAATTTTTTTTTCACATCTTTCAAGGCTATTCAAAAGGGAAACTTGGATGGAGCTAGAATACATGCTGAAAATGCCATTAGGCAAAAGTATCAGGTGAGTAGATTGACATCAGACGGAGTTCTTTAATTCTTCTAATAATGTGTACACTGTTAGTACTTTAAGTGGGTTATCGGTCATATAGGTAATGAATAAAACTTTGATTATTCAAAGTTTCTGAGTAAGACCAGTTAGCAAACATTTATTGACACTGCTACAGAGAGCATGTTAGAAAAATTATAAAGTTTAAAGTTGTTGATACATCCAAAGTGAGCTATAAAGATCATAAAAATATGTTTGAATGTACATGTACAATTTGCCTCATATACAATGTAACCAACCCAAAAAAATTAATTTGTCACTTGAAAAGTGTAAGCCATACACAATATTGATGAGACCTAATGGATCTGTGGGTATACAGTAAGTATATAATTAGCATTGCAAAATTCAGTGAAATCCTCTTTAAATATAATAATTACCTTCATTGCAATAATCAGCTCTTTGTGCAGGTACATTCCAACAAGTGGCAGAAAGTGTTTCCAGTTCCTAAAGTTTTCTTTGCAAGGACTTCTTGCATGGCACGTTTTCTCTAAAGTCTTGGCAAGGTCACCGTGGGAGTTGCAACACCAAACGTCAAGATGCATTTTTATCTATGCCATAATATTGATACCCATGGGTACTTAAAAAGGGTGTTTTTTGCTGTGTGCAAGATGCTGCCTTAAGTCGGCTATAGGGTGAAGCCATACTGGTCACCTATAAAGACCTGACCAAAACAGGAAACCACACTTGAAAAGTCTCTGGCAATCTGTTTGGGAGGAAATCACTAACAAAGGTCATATGTCAGCTCAAAAGATATATGACTTGTGCAAATGCTTTAATGCATATAAACACTTTAGTTCCCAGAAAGCCCTTCTGTCTCTGCTTGTTTATGGTCCATGCTATTGTTGTGAGAAATTTTGAAATGTTTATACTTTAAATAGGCAAATCCTTGCTGATGATTAATCACTGTTTACATTATTTTTGCTCACTAGCATATGAGGTATAACCCATAGAAGACATTACCTTATACACAAATTAAGGTTCAAAAGTTGAAAGAGCTGGTTAATTTGAGCAGTTTGTGCAATTTTCAGGTCCTTGCAATCATAACAAAGGTTTTTGAAAATTTGCAAAATTGCTGGGTGGCAAAAAAGTTAATTGAGCTCATACAAATAATATTCTTTGTAAGTCTGGGGTTTGATTTCAATTAAGGGCTCAATTTCTCTGGAACTATAATCTTTTTTCCTGTCCTTTAGATTTTGTCTGAATTAAGAGAACCAATATTATTTCATTATTTTTTGACAGGCCTTGCACTTTCTGCAACTTAGTTCAAGAACTGATGCTGTAGCACAACGAGTGCAGACTGCTGTTACAATGAAACAGGTAGGGAAACACCATCAGTGCTGTCAGATAATTTATGTCTTAACAATTGATAGAGAGTTTTTGTGATCACTGAGCTGGAGAGACTTTTAATAGTATGTGCCTACATAGCTTGACATTTTCCTCATAAGTCTTGACTTTTAAACAGAGGATGTGTGTATGCGTTTATTTTTCCACAGGGCCCGCACAATTTAATGTGTTTGTGTAACTGATTGCTATTTTACAGTAAATGTACTGGATTTACTGTTTGCTTCACCTATAGCAATACATCGCTAAATATCAGTCTATAAACAATATTAAATAAATGTTGAATTACCTTACCTGTACTTGGTATATTGTCACCCTTTTGTCTCAAAAGTGGTTTTTTGAGCGATTTTGAAGGCTGTGCTGTAAGGAAAATTGAAGGGAGCCCCAGTGCTCTGAAACTGTAAAATCCAGGGTTCCCAGCATGATTATGATTTGTATGAAAAATCTGAGATTTTCTAGTCGCCTGAGGGCAAAAGTTAGGCACCACTGGTGCCACCAGGCTCTGCCAGAGCACAGCCCTGCCAATAATTCCTTCCTTACGCTGCAGCATTTTTGAGCGACAGATGTCAACCGGAAGTGGACTTTTTGCATCATTGGACAGTGGTTTGGTTGAAACTCTTGGGCAGGGTTGTTATTAAGAGCCGGGGCCGGGGATTTTCCCCGGCTACTAAGAGAGTGGTCCGGCCGGCCCGGCTACTTTTATTGGAAAATAGAAGAAAAATAGAACCAAAAGAAGTCCCGAGCCGTTTGATTCCCCGCCTACTTGTTGTATTTACCCGGCAACTTGAAATCTTAGTGACAACCCTGCTCAGGTATTAAACTCGTCTTTATAAGAGAAAAGAAACTTGGCAATACAAATTTGTTAGCGTCAAGGTGGGTGTTACTAAAACGAAGACCCAAAAACGAAGACCTAAGACCTAAGACCCCTTGGACTAAACCGAAGACCCCATGGACTAAAACGAAGACCCTATGGACTAAAACGAAGACCCTATGGACTAAAACGAAGGCCCAATGGACTAAAACGAAGACCCAATGGACTAAAACGAAGACCCCTTGGACTAAAAGGAAGACCTCATGGACTAAAACGACTGATGCTAACCGCTGAGGGCAATGCCCACTCCCGTAATTTGTTACGGCAATTTGGGAATGTTGTGGAATTTCCTCTGCAGTATTTAGTTGTGATAGTCAAGTCTATCCGGCTTACCTTTCCTTCAGGTTTCTTTGCGGAAAATATTTTGCATGTTTTAAACCTCTTTGGAAGTGTTTACGATGAAGATGAGGTCAGTTTTATTTAAATCAAAGCTTTTTGCGGGGTGAAGGCGAGAGAGCCCTCTAGTGTGTCGTGTGGTTATAATGCGCCCTCGGTGAAGAGGATTGGCGTGACAAGCTCAAAGGTCATCAGCGTGTTCATGGGAGGCCTGACAATCAAAAAGGCTTATGACAGGATTTGTCTTGAAGACTTCCGCCAAACGTGTTTTGGGCGCGTAGTTGGGGTTTGAGGGAGGAGGGGGTCCATTGCCTTTCTGATATTTTATGGTTCAAAATTCAACGTCGGATGATTTTATAGGTGTCATCCCGGGTGTGATGAGTTAAGAAAATATAACCGCGTGCTCCGGCTTTCTAAAATGTCCTAGAATTGTATCAATGCATAAAAAAACAAAACAGTGACAACACGTAGTACAGGGAGGGAATTTCTCGTTGACAAATTCAAGGACAGAAAAACCTCGCGCTCTATTTTTTACTTTTTACCTCATCAATAGGGGAAAAAAAGCCTTCGATCTCGAACATTACTCGAGTACAGGTTAACATTTCGAGTTTCATTTAAGCGAGGTTCATTCATCTTTATGCCCAGTTTTATTTGTTTTATTTATATCCCTGTCATACGCTGTTACGATATTCTGTCCTCTATTGTTAAAAAATGACTAATCCTTACGGCTTAAACAGTTGTTTTTATGATAATTGTGATAAAAAAATAATAATAAAAAAAAAAAGAACGAAAAAGACAAGGAAAAAGAACGCTTGTTCGATGAGACTCGAACCTGGGACCTTTATCCAACATTACGGTTTTACCACTAGGCCACAAGGGCTCTCACGCCTTCACTCTGCAAAAAGCTTTGATTTAAATAAAACTGACCTCATCTTCACCGTAAACACTTCCACAGAGGTTTAAAACATGCAAAATATTTTCCGCAAAGAAACCTGAAGGAAAGGTAAGTGATAGACTTGACTATCACAACTAAATACTGCAGAGGAAATTCCACAACATTCCCAAATCGCCGTAACAAATTACGGGAGCGGGCATTGCCCTCAGCGGTTAGCATCAGTCGTTTTAGTCCATGAGGTCTTCGTTTTAGTCCAAGGGGTCTTTGTTTTAGTCCAAGGGGTCTTCGTTTTAGTCCAAGGGGTCTTCGTTTTAGTCCATAGGGTCTTCGTTTTAGTCCAAGGGGTCTTCGTTTTAGTCCAAGGGGTCTTCGTTTTAGTCCAAGGGGTCTTTGTTTTAGTCCAAGGGGTCTTCGTTTTAGTCCATGGGGTCTTCGTTTTAGTCCATAGGGTCTTCGTTTTAGTCCATGGGGTCTTCGTTTTAGTCCATGGAGTCTTCGTTTTAGTCCATGGGGTCTTCGTTTTAGTCCATAGGGTCTTCGTTTTAGTCCAAGGGGTCTTAGGTCTTAGGTCTTCGTTTTTGGGTCTTGGTTTTAGTAACACCCGCGTCAAGGCATATAAAGAGGGAGATCAGGCCTCGCTTCTGGTTGAAGTGTGTCGTTCAAAAACGTCTTTGCTTAAGCTCCCTTAGAAGGACAAGGGAGGAATCCTTGTTTTGAAAAAGCTCCAGCGCCGGAGCGATTTTCCCCCAAAAACCGTCCTGCTGATTGCCTCTTTTAATTGGATGTCGATAAACAATAAACGCTTACAAAGTTAATTGAAGTCGTCTTTAAGTCAGTTATTATTTAACCATTTGGTTAACAACATCCAATTAAAAAGAGGCAATCATTGGGACGGTTTCTGGCTGGCATGTATGAATATTGCTATGCATTTTGACTGTTCAAAAATTGAGGGATTTTAATTTTCTCTGCGGGCTAGCTCCAGGCCTTTTGGATGGATTATTTATCGGAAGGTTCGAGGAGAAGCGTGAATCTTTCAACCTTTTTGCAGCGAAGTTTGAAAGTGGAGCTATGCGATTTTGGGGGGAAAATCACTTTGGCGCTGGAGCCCTTTCAAAACAAGGATTCCTCCCTTGTCCTTCTATTATTAGGAACAGTAAACGGCGAACTCAAAATGCTTCAAAATCGCCCAAAAAACCGCTTTTGAGGCAAAAGGGCAACAATAATACCACAGGTAAGGTAATTCAACGTTTATTCAATATTGATTGTAGACATATTTAGCGATATATCGCTATAGGTGAAGCAATGGTAAATCCAGTACATTAACTATAAAAATTAATAAAAATCGGTTACCACACACACTTTGTGCGGGCTCCTTGTGATTTTTCACAGCTAAATGGTTCAATGGTTAATGTTGTGGCATCAATGGACTCAGCTTTGAAGACCATGGACTTAGAAAAGGTTAGTTTTGGTACTAATCTATATCATCTCTGTCTATATTATGCTTTTAAGCAAGCATATCCTTTCCGATTCAAAATCAAGCAAAAGTGATTTGTTTCATTTTTTCTTCAGGTTTCTGCTTTAATGGACCAGTTTGAGCGGCAGTTTGAAAACCTTGATGTTCAGTCAAGCCACATGGAACAGGCCATGAGTGACGTCACCACACTCACAGTACCACAGGTCTCATAACTTAATTTTACCTTGTTAAGATTTCAACCAAAAGGTTGGCTAAAAGTAGCCTGTGAACAGCAGACGCATTTCGTCTGCCATTTGCAACAGGCTAGGCTAAAAGTGGTGTGTTTAAAAAAATTCTGTTCAATCTCTTTTTTTAAGAAAAGTCTCAGACAGTGGCACTGTTGAATGGGATATGGCCTCCTTTTAAACACTGATGTGACTCAAAGCCCTGTTTCAACATTCTTCATTTTGTAATCGTTCATGAAGTAAAGGAAAGAATTATTAAATAAAATCATACTGTAGTTTGCTTCATGTTTCTGTCCTTCACTTACCATAGACTTTAATACAAGGAAAATTTATACATTTGTAACTGACATGCCCTTTTTGCTCTCAATGTCACAGTGCCTTTGGTGACTGTTTGAAAGTGCAACTTTGCCTCTTGCATATAGTACACTATTATGATCTGTAGCATCAGTCATATTAACTAGTGTGGATTTATTTTGTAGGAAGAAGTGGACACTCTTATGCAACAAGTGGCAGATGAACATGGGTAGGCCCTTTAAAAATTAATTAATGCTTGTAAATGCATTAAAAATCCCTTAGCTGGGGGCTTTAATCAGGATTCAGATGAAACCATTCACCTTGATTGCTACTTGGTTGATTGAACCTTGATATGGACCCTTTTACCTTATCTTAAACCTGTAAAAACTACCTTGATAAAAGCTTCATTGATTGAGTGTGAGAAGCTGGAATAGCCCTCCTTATTGCCCCTGCAGGGATTTCGCCCAGAAGGCGAAATCTGGAGGAGGCACTCTTACTAGTAACTCGCCCGTATATTAAGGAAAGTACTTACAGTTGAAATATACAGTCATACAGTCAATATAGAAAAAATCTCGATTTGCTTGAACAGGGGCCGCGAGGAAATGGTAGGTAATGATGACGTTTCTATTGCTTGTGCCCGCAAGTACGAAATGGTTAGGATGACGTAAAGACAGAACATCATTATTGTGCAGTCATACTTCGACACTCTTTTGTGTTACTTGTTATCAGTGACATTCTGTGGAGCAGTTGTTTCATTTTAAGTTATGGACCAAAATTTTAATGACACTCGATAAGCGTAGAAGAAGTTATAAGGTGCGGTATAGCTGTGTATATATAAACACTTGGAGAGTTTGCCAGACACGAGTTCACAAATCTTTCATTGGAAACCGTGCCAGACACTCTTTCTCTCTCTTTGACCGGAATAAGTCTCTGAACCCCAAACAAGCAAGACGAGTGAACAACGGCTAGCTTCTCAATAGCAGAATGATGGACAATTGCAGAAATTCGACGACAATCAAATTCTGTGCTGACTTATTCCCTGCTCGAGCTCACAGATGTCCTTCCGCTATAAAGTTTAAAATAAGACTAGCATGCGCGAGTGTGAGTTAATGATCAAACGTCCTTTTAATTCTAAGGCTTCCTTTCCGGCAAACAAAATGAACTGAATGTAAAACGTGAAAGAGAAATAGCGAAAAATTCAACTTCTAATTAATCTTTTCTTATGGTTTAGAATAAACCATTCTTGAAACTGAGAATGTTTTGATCAAAGCTGTGTAAATTGACCTGAAACTGTGCATGGAACCTTGTGTTTCCTGTATTTATCCCACCTATTGTATGGAATATGTGTGAAAATCTTCCTTATAAATCGGTATATTTCAAAGAGCTACACAACGAGCAAGAATGCTATTGACCGACAATATACAGAGCGAGGGCAGCTGTAGTGTCGACTATTCCTAGTAATATTAGCTTTAGCTTCAATGATTGAGATGTCTAGCGGAGGAGCTGCACTGATCATAGTTTGTCAACTTTTTGAACTCATCCAGTTTTTATCCTCAATGTTTTAGCGTGAATAAAAATACAAGTCATTATGCAAAAAAAAATTATATCACTTGCATTGCATTTTATCATCTCTTTCAGCTTGGAATTAAATATGGAGCTCCCTGCTGTGCAACAGGAACCAATTGGAACAGCTTCTACAGAGCAGGTAATTGTTTATAAAGGCTTAATCAATCAGTAAGTCAAAGACCTTATTTAGCTTTGAATTAGTTGATAGCAAAATTGCTATTATCTCTGTTATCTCTTGCTTGAAATGTAACACAGCCAGGTTTTTAGACCAAGAAATTAGCTGCTGCATGTGATTTAAATTGCTACTTTTATATCCTTTTATTTTTGGGCCCGCAGTAATTGGCTTTAGCTGTTGCGGTGTTCCTGCCCAAATATTTAAGTTATTATTAGTGTATTGCTACTTTCTTATTAGTAGTGTTTGTATATCTTCAGTGTATTTTTTTCCCGTGTATTCTTCAGGGAAAAGCTAATAAAATAAAATTAAATTAAAAAATAGATAGTGAGCTTGCATACTCAGCGAAAGAATGTTTTTCAGTGAGAGGGGTAATTATGTGATCATGCTCATTGTGCCATTGTGTTGTGAAAGAAGGAAACATCAAATCTCTCTTGGATTGAAAAATCTAGCTAATGCTACACGAGCTGTGAGCATGTCTTACTTAGGACGAGAAGAGTTTGTATCCCCCACAGATGCTCTTAAAAAAGGCCATCTAATTACATTAATTCAGTTTATTTAAGCTGAAAATAGTATTTTACTCATTATCATTATATTGAATGATTTTTGTTTTCATTTTTAGGATGAGCTGCACAAAAGGCTGGCAAAACTACGACAGTGACCTGTTGCTTATTAACCCTCGGACGTACAAGTGGGGGAGGGGGTTGCCACCCCCCCCGCAAGATTTTTTTCTAGACGATAAAACATCAGCACTTGAAGTTTTCTGCAGCTGTTAGTTTATCCTTTGCGTGCATTTAGAGACAAGCTTAGTGATGGTCAGTTTCTATGGTTAGGAGATATGACGTTATAAGTAGCCTGTGGTCACGTCATTTTTGAGTGAAAATGCACGTTTTTTCAACTTTTTTCAACAATAAAACTAAAACTTGTGAATAAAATGATGCAAAGTAATTATTTATGTGTTATTTTACAAGTCAAGCGGAAATTAATTCTCACTGTTTTTACCTGATTTCTAATTCTTGATAAGATCCAAGGTAGCAACCATGTTTGGTGACATCACAGACCTCCAGCAGCACCACCCATAAAATATACCTCATCTTGTAGAGAAGATCAAAGGCTTTCCACTGAAGGCAAAATCGTTTCAAAATACTGCAACGCATCAAATACTCAAGGCAGGGTTTCATCAACCTCCCCCTCCCTCCCCTTGTACCACGATGGGGGTATGACTTTGCGTGTACGTCCGAGCGTTAAAATACTTAAATCACTTGAATCTTTACATGTTATTAAGTAATGTGGAGCCAAGCTACTAAAAAACGCCTTAAGCATGTACTCATTCCTTGATAATGACATCCTGAGGTCACCGAAACATAAGGGAATACATTATTACTACTTGTTTATTTATTTCATATCTATCTATTTATTTATTTATTATAATTTGCAAAGGTTTCCCATTAGGCAATAATAATCATTTGAATCATTTTCGTTGAAAGAAACCAAATGTGTGTTAGGGTTTCAAGACAAGTTATCACAACTTCATGTGCATCCTCAAAGAAACTTTTATTTCCATTTCTTGTTAAATATATTCAAACCCTATGTATTCTGTAAAATTTAATTTTGTCTGCACTTGAGTTGTGTCAAATAAATTTTACTACTGATAGTGAGCAACTCAAAAGAGTTCATGTGTTTTCCTCACTTCCTTACCCATGCCAGCAAGAGAGAAAAACTCCTTTCCTTTTTCCCTTTAAACCCAGCTTTCACTCCGACCCACAGTAAATAAGGGAGAGCTACAATGCAGTTCTAACTTTTATGTCATTCTGTGATGTGACCATTGTGTTTTCATTTTACAATTTTAATGAGATTTTGAAACGTTGTTGAGGTTTGACTTTGGAAATAGGATTAAGTTGTCGCTGGGCCCAGCCTTTGCAGAAAAATGGCCATGTGGTACAGAAACAATGCCGTGGGACCTTGAAGGGAAATGATTATTATTAGCTTTTTGAATGATGTTATCTCTGTGTTTTTCTTGCCCCACTACATTGTTTGTGTTCCAGCAACATGGTTTTGTCCCGTGTGATCATATTCTGCAAAGAGCCCAGAATATCATAATTACAACACTGCAAAAATATTTGGAGAATTACAAGACCATCTCCCTCTAATTATATCTCTACATAACTTGCAATATTGCTCTGTGTACCACTGCCCAATCTCAGATATAAAATCAAAATAGCAGAAACAAATAAATAATAAATAATATTATGCAGACCATTTCAGCAAACAAGAAGACCTGGAGGCTTAGGTTGACAAAATACAGTGATTTGTTAATAATGTCCAACCATGCCTGGACCTCATTCCATTGTTTGCAGAGCAGGAAATGTGTGCTACACATGAATCTTGTTGTTTAATATCAAAAGTAAAACTATTTTAGTCTTTAAGATCGGTTCCTAAAATTCAGTTCCCCGTTATGATAAAAAATTAATCTTCTGGAAAATTTCAAGCTTGCACTAGCATCCTTCAGGTCGAACTTCTTTCCACCAGTTATATGGATACAGGTGCTTCAATATTTCAATGCCTCCTTTTGGAATGGAGATATTGAAGAATCCAAACTTTGTTTTTGGCAATTCTGGCTCCACAACCCATTTTGGAAATGAATGATATGTCCTGTAGTTCAGGGCAAAAACCCATGACTCCAGTCCTCTTCTTCTCATTGTTCCCCTATCATCGTAAAATGCAAATAAATCCACAGATAACCACAGACCCTCTTTTGAAATGACAATAGTTCCACTCTGAAGCCATTTGTTAGTCACTGTTAATCCAGCTGCTTTAAAAGGGGCCACAAATTCATTCATCGTCATGTCAGCAAATACACCCTCACCTTCAAATCCAATGTCAACATCATTGTCCCATGGAAGGGGTCTTCCTATGCGTAGTGCACCCCAGATTGAGCCATACATTAACCAATGTCTGATACTCATGCCGTCTAATATCTTGTGAATTTGATATGTAAGGTCAAGAAGCTGATTCATTTCTTCCTCACTGCTACGACACCTAACAACTGGTTTCCAAAATCTGTTGGTATAGTAACCAAAATTTTGTAGGTTGATGTAAAAATAGAGTCCCACTAAAGCCAGCAGAATTACAATACGAATGATCAGTCTTCGCCTCCTTATTCTCATCTGTGCATCTGAACTGGTCTCATTAGGACCACCGCACACCTAAGAGGAAAAAGAAAGGGCATTTAACTACAGCTGAGTCTGTCCCTACATAGAATTGAGATCTGGTTAAAAATATAAACCAGTATTTCTGCTATGAAATTTAGTGCTTCTTAGGGTGCATTCAATTAATGGTATGAGACTACACAGAAGCTTTGTTACAAATCTACTACCGTGATATTTGGGCCACTGGAGTGTTAGATGCATCAGAATATTTCATACAGCTATATTTCTTGACGCTAAAACACAAAATAATGAATGCCAAAACAAGTGATTTCTTTGAGCTTATTCCTTTATTCTCATTCTGGAATAAGGCCAATAGAATGCATGCTGAGTTCCATATTTTCTATTGATTTAAAACTGTGAATTGAATCCTCTATCTCTTTTATCCCATTCAGAGTATTATTTTGATCAGTCATTTTACAGTTTGAGCCTCCCAAGCAGACATTCCTAGACCTTTTTCATACGTTCCTTCCCCACAACAATGTTTGGGAAGAATATTTTGCGTGACAAGCCAAGAGAATGTCTGCGTGGGAGGCTAGGAAATCCCAAATGGACATTCTACACAATCTGTTTATTTCATATTTAACTTCCTACAACTGTAAAATCGACAGTCAATAGTTCACACTTTGTCTGTGTTAACCCATGTTTTATAGCAATAATTATTCCTTGTTTGTAAACATTGTTTTTGTTATTCAGATTTGCCAACCACTGAAACAAAAGAACCCATTGTCTCAAGAGCCAATTAAACCCTGGTTGGCGCATTAATGTCAAAAGGTGACGTAAAGCAAAATATTGCCATACCCATACTGCATTTTATACTCAGTCCACAGTTGGCAGTCTGTAATTCTTATTAACTGCTATACACTACTGATGTATACTCCTGGGTTGCAACCATTTACTGAGAATGCCAGTAATAATTACAGAAAATTGACTACAAGCTCTCACTGTATTTCTTTCAGCAGAAAGGCTATGTCAATCAAATAAGAAAAAGAATAAACTACATTTTTTAAAAACAAAATGGAAGTCACAGAGCTTCACGACTTTTTCTGATAACAGACTCTTCCACAGTTTTGTTAAACTTTTGACATGGACAAGTTAGGAAAAATTTGTCAACACCACTGGAAAATGTGTGCCTATGACTAAACTTGATGGCCATATTTATAGGAGTTCAGAGACATTCAAATATTTATGTTCTGTAACAAAACGAGAGCCAAGTATGCAAGCACTTGCAAAACCACACGAGACCCAGATGTACTCAGTGTTGCTATTTCTAAACCAATCACACATTTAGGGATCGCCCCTCCTGTAGCAAGTGCTGTTTTGTGAAAATTTTGTTGCGTGAACGCAGTTATTAACATTGAATATTCAATCTCGTAGTATGCCTATCTGTTATGCGGCTTATGGCAGGGCGAAAATGTCAAAGTGGATCTGTCGATTATTCAGGAATTTAGGGCCCTTCAAGTTAAGATGAGCTATTTTCCCTGTAACCAGCCTTTAGTGATTATTAAGTGTTAACTACCTATGGGTTGACAAAATGTCATTTAAACTGGCCACGAACAACAAGGAGACGTTGAGGTATAGATATGTGAGCTTTGTTTTGCAATATTTTGATGTTTAGGTTCCATTTAGTCTGATCCATTGATACAACCTTTGGCTGTAGCAGCACACAAGATTGGGGTGTTGAATTTGAAAAGAAAGGGCCAATCCACACTAGTGAAAAAGCTGTTGATTTAGGCAAATTTTCTGTCATCACCAACGCCTAACAAATGTGGAAGGTTTGGTGTGATTTTACAAATTTTGTCTGAGATGGGGCAGTCTTCAAAGGCACCAAGACAAAATTTGTCCCAGACAAAACTGGACAAAATTGAGTTTTTCTTGTCAATTGTTTGTTTCCATAATTCTTTCCATTAACGTAATGACAGATGTAATGGCCTGATAAGAGTAAACAAGTTCCAGTGGCGATAACTTTTTTTCAAACCAAAATTGTCACCCTATCATTTTCGGGTAAAATTCCAATTTGCCCGCTCGTACTGGGGATCGGCCCAAACAGAGGATCGATCGAAATTTCAGTTGAAAATTAACCAGGATAATTAATCATAGGAAATGATATAATGGTAAAGGAATATTTAATTGGAACTATTATATGTATTTTTTGACTCCCGTTCAGTCAAATATAGTCGACTCTCTGTTAACTCTAGCTCTGATCCTCTCTTTGTCAATAACATGACCGGTATTGAGATGAAGTAAATCTGGGCTGCCTGTAGCGAAACATTTTGCGAGCAAGCGTCTTCTGATGTACATTTAGCAAGCAAATCGAGCAAAGGCCAATGAAGTGAATTCGATAATGCTAACATGTAACTCAGGAGGCCGTTTTCAATTTATTCCTCACTTGACTAGTTTCGAAGGGGGCATATTGATCAACGATATTAAAAAGTAAGCTTACAAAAGCCAATGAAGGTTGGAACCTCTTTTTCATTTTAACTACCTCACCCGACTTTGACTTCTCAGTGTACGACAAAAAGCGAAAAAAAAAACAAAACAAAAAACTAATTCAAACAACTTACCCTAAACTAATCTGTTATAAAGATTTCCATGAACATTCAGTGTCTATATACCGCTGCTTGAAACGCCGCCATTACTACTATCCCATTATACTCTGCGGTCTTGTACTTAATAATAATAATAACTTTATTTATCCTATGTTCAAGGCGCTTACTTGTGACGGGCATACCACTCCCGAGGGGAGCTGGGCGTTTGTAGGGTGGGGAGGGGTACGTAATCACTCAACCTTTGCAGGGGAAACCTTTCAAAGCATCAGTGACCAGAAAACAGCTCGACTAGCTTCAAAAGGCGATTTTCGAGTGATATCTAAAGTCATGCTGCTACGCTGCTACAGTGATTTAAGCATAAGCAAAGCATGCTTCTGTTTTCAGTAATACCACTCAAGTGTAACAAATGAATTACCAGGGGCTTTCACATGAAATAAGCCTTCCCTTTCTAATAAGCCCCACTCTTCAATAAGGCTTTTAAAGTCACTCAAACATTGCGAGAGAGAATAATATAGGGAGCTTGAGCAAAGCACTTCAACCGGACGACAGTTTTGTTTTGCATTCTTGGGCAGTGGTTTTCTTTGCACGGGGGAATTTTCTTCCTTGTCAAGTTTTTCGTTTAACTGAACTGTCCTTCTTTTAATCCAAACACTTCAAGTTTTGAACAAGGACAATTGTCAATCAAAAAAACTTGTAAAAAACTTGACATCCACTTGTCAAGTTTTGCAACTTGTTTAGCTCGTGTAAGAGTGAGTAGAAGGTTTCAATGGCTGTGAAGGCATCATGGCTGGTTTCAATGGAGACCATAATTTGTTTTCACATAAAGCTGTTGAGTAAAAAAGACTAAATCCTATAACAAATATTTCTAAACTAAGACTGTTACATTCCTAAACTAGAATAAGACCAGTATTAAACTACAAAAGATAAAAGCAACAACAACAACAAAAGACTTAATAATAATAATAATAATAATAATAATAATAATAATAATAATAATAATAATAATAATAATAATAATAATAATAATATAACGAATTATAAGACACGGGACGATTCGCCACGACGATTTTTAGCGCAACACGGCGTTGCAATGTTGGAACAGTGTTGTAACTATTTGAAACAATGTCGCAACAATGTTGCAACGCTGTGTTGCGCTTAAAATCGTCGTTGCGAATTGTCTCGCGTAACATCGCCCGCAGCTAGCAAGGCTATTCGAGGTAGGACAATGAGTGCAAAATACTAAATTAAGACTAAAGCTAACTAAGGAAATATATAAAGATATTTATAAAGATATGCAGTTTTGTATGACCTAACTACATCTGTGTAATGTACCTTTTGAAAGAACAAGAGCTGGAGTCCGCTTGTTTGCTTCATTCAGGAGCCCATCAAATTTGATGGGCTCCTGCTTCATTTGAAAGTTGTTCCAGGGCATAGCACCACTGCTATGTTAAAAAGTAACCCTGTCACGGCGGAGATGGTAGTTAACCTGATCGACATTCCTTTTTTTTAGGGTTCTTAAGGCCGGGGAACGAGTGTAGTCATTTAGTGTTTCATAGGCTAATATTAATATTGACTTGGCAAAGAGCCGCATTGCATCAAGTGCATCCCACAATAGAGAGGCAATTTAGATCGGCGGAGCACATATCATGACTGGCATCTGTAAGATCTTTGGCAGCACGCCGTAATTCTCGTGATTGTAATCTCTTTAGCTTAACTTTTAGTAATTTGCTGCATGTTGCTGGTCCCACACAGAACAATAAATATTTATAGTAGGGCTGTACCAACCTCTCATAGATTGTGTCCGGAGAAGTGCTATCTACACGAACAAACGTTTTAATAGTCTTCATGGCTCCTATGCCCGAGCTAGCCATATTTTAGGGATCTTTTAGACATGAAAATCCCAGCAAAGTTTTTCACCCCTATCCTTAGGAACTTATGTGTGCTAGTTTGTGATATTAATGACCCTTTCGGTTTACCCGAAATTAACATACACTTCAGAAGTCTAGGGGGGCATACCGGACAATTTTGGCTTCAGGAAATGGCAAAGAAACACCCCAGCTCCTGTGCCACAGAAATAATACGTTCATTCAAAACTAGCCACAGTGAATGGGTTTCGGGCCATGTTTCCCGCCTTTTATCAAATGCTTACGGCGCCCTCGCTTTCGCTTCACGGAGGTTCGCGAGTTGAATTGCAGTCATTTAACGAGCTGCGAGATTGTTGAAACCATAAGACAGTTTACTTTTAGTGTAGAAAAGTGAACACTCAGACTCCGGAAACTGGAGCAGAATAGCTTCGTAAGTTGCAACAAAAGAGGATTGTAGAGCTGCTTCAATGGGAGGGGTAACTAATAGTTCCCCAGTTCACGCAGTGAACACGTAGCCTCTCGATAACCTCTGCTCGCACGATGTGTAGCTTCAAATTTTAGCATTTTAGTACACTTTTTGTAAATGGTAATTCAAACAAACAGTGTTATTGCTGTTGTTTTTGCGGCCTGCTCAACGGGGGAAGGCTGTGTGTGTAATGTGCATGCTACGAGGAAATTCAGATAGGATAATCAGAGACGGCTATCATCCAAATGCTATAAAATGGTTAAGGGGATCTATCCAAAGCGGCAGCGCTATAAAAGTTTGCATCTGTTCGGTCATTCAAAACCGGCCTTAAGAATTTTTTTAATTTCTTGGGCGGCTTTCCAAATTTTTCCTGAAAATCTCAGACTCAGATCAAACGCTGTACTTCGCAGGCATGAACTGGACTTAACAACAGTTTGAGTTGACGTAAATTGTTAGTTCGCCTGTTTGGTCAAAACCCTTATTAACTAGAAGAAACCGAACTTTAAAAAAGAAATCTCAGAAACTGCTCTTGTTAAATACGGCGTTTGGTCCAGTTTTAAAGTCCCTTGTACGTAAGTTCGGCTGAACTCGCCCCAGGAATCCAGGACCGTATTTGACGTGGGATTGTATTTGGATCTGCTGAGGCGTTTTTTATAGCGCCAATTCCAGCCGTGAACAGCGCCTCAGCTGATCCAAAAGCAATCAGCTTTGCCTTTCAGCGCTGATGTGACTTCACCGGTTGAAAAGCCAAACATGGAATCAATTGAGTTCGGCTCATTAACGGTGTTTGAGCCGGCCCTTTGATGTTTACGAATTCAAGTGATTTCTGATAGACGTAATAGCTCTTTCCATCACTATTTTTGGTGCTGGTCAATAGGCAAAAGGATAAGAACTGGGGATTTTGTAATGTCCTTGTAACTACCATTTGTTATTTGTATAACTTTTCAAACAAAAGTGAAATAAAAATTGATGATCAAGGTGAACAAATACAGAAATAAATATTGGATCCAAAGAAGCGAATTTCCATACTTTTAAAATGAGGAAAAAATACCTTAATCTTGGCCAATGATACGAAAATTTTAGATTTGCAAAACGTACAGTTCGACTTTCGACACGTTTCACGTCATTATTGCCGCTTGCTTCTGGTGAGGACATCTGCGGTCTACTGCATTCAATAAAATAACAACGATCTCTTTGATTAAGCTACAATTATCGTCTTTAAGATAAAAAGTTCTTCATTTTCTGTTGTCTAGAATAAACAAACTCAACCGCGATTCAATTGCGTGCCCAGAGTCTTTTGACCAAAAAGCCAGAACTGGGCTCTGGGTACGACACTGACCGCGATTTCTTGTATTTGCAGATTTTATCAGTTGTTTGCCCCCACTCCCCCTCTCCCATGAGAAACCTCGTGACATTGCTTTTATCCTGTCAGTCCTTAAGCGCGTGCAAAGATGGCTGCCATATTCTGCATATTGGCCTGGCCCGGGTTGCTAAAACGTTGGATATCGCTATCCGCCAGATAAATCACTATCCAGCGGATAAGTATTAGGGAAACCAATTGTGGTATCCACTGGATAAAGATTTATCCAGTGGATAGCGGTATCCACCTTTTGAACAACTGGGGCCAGGTCAAGAACAAAAGAATTCCTCTCCACTGGGGAACTAAACTCAATCTTTGGGTAAATTCTTTGAAAAAATCCTTATTGTATTGAAAACCAATATGCCCGCTTTCACGTGGTTGCAAACCAAGAATAGGACAAATAAAGCTAATATTATCATACTTTTTTTAAAAAGAGCAATTATTGTTATTATGGTATTGCATATTGTATGACTAAACTTGTTATCTATTAATATTTCTATTCCCTTATTAAGTTCTATTAGTTAAATACATCGAAATTTTTGAAAAATTGTTGTCATGTTATGTTATTTTTAGTGCGCACAGTATATTGTACAAACGTGTACATTTGTTTAAATTTTGGAATAAGTTCAGTTCAGTATTTGTAGTAATAAGCATGCAAACCATACGCTAACGTGAAAATTTTGATTGTTATGGTTCATTTTTTTAATGCCGAAGGGCAAAGTATAAGTTGTTACACTACTACTCTACTTCAGGAGCCAGTCTACTTGCATTAATAAAAGTTAGTAATTTTCTACATGACTTGTTGTACGATGGAAGTTCCGTTCGTCTAATATTGAACTTGAATAGTTTTCTCACTTCACACTCCACACAAGTGAAAAAAAATACGATTATCTTCCTGAAAAATGCATGTAAGTTAAGTAAATATAACTGGACGAAATGGTCTTCAATAGTGACGCTTTTAACACTTTGAGAGTTTTTCAACCTTAAACTTAGAATTATAAGTTCGTGACGGAATTAGAAAGTATAAAATTCATGCATACTTGACTACATTACTATATATATATTGACGTTGCATCCAGTTTTCGTATTCCAATCTTGCATAGTAAAGTAACACGTGTTCTTTAAGTCATGCCATCTTTCTACTTTTTTCTAGGTTTTACAATCCTAGGTACGGTTTGTTTACAGTGGGCGAATAGCGCCCAACCTGACGTAGAAACAAATCGCGATTTTGCCTCCATTCCGGGTCATTTGGAAGAGCTTGGCGCGAAGAACACAAAACGTTCTGTCGAAGTGATTCAAAGTTTTCCAGACCCTGAAACATTTTTCAGAACATACGTGGACGGAAGTAAACCAGTTCTGATCCAAAATGGAGCAAAAATGTCGTCGGCATTTGAAAAGTGGACGGATAAGTATTTCTTGTCGCTTCCCGAGTCGAGCGAGCACAAAATCCAGGCGGAACAAAGAAAGAAAGAGAAGAGAACAGTTCCTCCAGAGGAAATGTCCTTTAGTGATTTTGTCAAGACGTACACAGAAAAGGATATCTATATGGTCAGCAGTGTTCCTGAATTTATAAGGTGGGTTATTGAATTAAGTTTTGTTTAAAAATCATTGTAAGCCTCGGTATAAAAGAAGTTGATTTATGCGTTTTCACTAAGATGAATGTCGAACTATTGTTGCACTGCTAATATCCGTGGTTTACAGTTGACTGATTTTGTCGTAATATTTTTTGTTTAGTTCCAAAATAGCTTGTTATTAAAGGAACTATGTCTCAAGGATATTGCTTTTTAGGGTCACTTCTGTGCTAAAACTTAAGTTGGGCCAACTTTTTAAAGTTTAAGTCCATGTCCATCCTTACCATCTGTAGCAAAAGCAAATAGGAAGAGTTTCAATGCCTACAGTTAGCCTATAAAACAGCCGATATTTCGCGACGCTACCACTGGTTTCCCCGCGAAATGACGTCTGAGAAACGAGCGCAGGAATTCCATACTGATGACGCGTCACTACCCAGATCTGAGTACTGCTTTTGATTGGTCGTGCCGCGTGAGAAGGTTTCTTCAATCAATCAGAAGCACTTCCCAGATCTGGATAGTAACACGTCAATAGTATGGAATTCTCCGCTCGTTTCTCAGACATCATTTCGCGGGGAAACCAGTGGTCAGTGGCCTCGCGAAATGTCGGATGTTTTCTCAAGCTAAAATATAGTCTAAAATAACAAAACTGGACCATTATTTTTGGATGTCAAAACACTTTTTAGCTTTTTAAAAAGATAGCAACATAAACCGAAATAATAGTTAGGCCACCGCTCAAGCGCTCGTGGTACTAACTGTTCACATATCCCTCAGTCACGGGTTACGGTTACATATACAAAACAGGAAATTGACTTTTTCACAGGGTGTTTTACGATCCTGTGGGCTCCAAACGTCCTTTTCCAAAAAGACTAAGATGTGAAAATAAACCACCTCCGCAGTTTTGCCTCATTGTTGGGTAGTTATAGCGCAAGAGGACTTTAATTAGAAAAAAGACAGTTAACCTTTTTTCCGCGTTACTTTGTTTAGTGTATTCATTTACGTTTGTATTCAATCATGTTTGTATTTCTAGCCTAGCAACTAGACATAAGCGCAATGATATAATCCGTGATCAACAATGACTATGGTCCAGAGATGCCGCGAAGTAATGGCAAATCTAGCAAAAAATGGCCACAGAGTTGGCGTAAATTCAAAATTCAAATAAAATGTTATTGCACGCAATAGCAAACATGGCAAATGTCTCGAAAAAGGAAGCAGATTCCTCTGCATGAAATTTGCTGTGCTTGGCTTGGGGCACAAGCCAAAAATTACTTTTTTTTTTATTTTTATATGATTTAGGAAAGATATAGTACTTCCTCCCCCTCTGTTGTGCAGAGATATCACAGAAGCGGACATGATAGCCGACGCGGTAAGTAATAACCAGTTGATATCAGTGTAATATAACAATATGCATATATATGTATCATCACATGGCTGCCACCCTGTCCCTCGCCCCTGCCCAAGTGATATGGTTGAGCGCGTGCGTAAGGTATTGGCGAACAGGGGATTACTGTGCGGCTGTGTAGAGTGACCATTTGGTCCAAGGGTAAGGGGTTGGACCTCCGTGCGGAGCCCCTCCGTATAATTTTTTGTTTATCCCCCCGGACTTATTGAACTCTTTCAGTGTTATTGTCCTTCTTACAGTATATTCTCTCTGATTACAGGTGATGTGGTTTAGCAGTGGAGGAACCAAGTCTGTTTTGCACCTTGACGATGGACTTGATAATATCAACTGTTTGTTCAGAGGGACAAAGGAACTATTATTTATTGATTACCAAAAGTACAAACACGTGGTACGCTAACTCATTTAACATCGTATTTTATATACTACGCTTACAATACATCCTCTAGAATGGCCCGCTGATAGCCAGAGGGAGGCGCTATTTTGTCCAATGGGCCATTTCCGAGTTTCCCTAGCCTCTGTTTGAAAGCGAGGCTGAGTAAATGAGTTTTTAATTCTCACGCAAATAAAAATCATTTTCCCAAGAAAGGTTTTACGTTTAGCCTCGTCATGAGAGTTTTTGGAACTCGAAAATGGCCAATTCCCCCTCCCACGTTGAGCACTTCGAAAATAATTTCCCAGCTCGTTCCGATATAGGCTTTCAAAAAAAGTCCTTCGTTCGATTCTTCGTCACTCGGTTGACCGCCTCGCGGCCTAAACTACTCTTTATAATACCAGTTATTCTGGGTTAAAAATGTAGTTTTTCCCTCAGTGATTTAGGACCCTATGGCTGTTTTTTGATAAACTCTAAATCATGGTTGTGATAAAGTCTTTGAAACCCTCTTGAAAAACATGCAATTTGGCCAAGCTAGCTTACATAAGTCTAAAATTAAAGGTATCTCAATAGATAAAAAAAGAGGCCAATATTCAATATTAATTTTCTGCGTAAACAAAAAGGGCAACTTCTAGCCCCATCTTGCTGGCTGGGTAGCCAATGAGAATTAGCTTCACTAGTATAGGGATATGATAAACTGACCTGAAACGCTTATTCCGATATAAATCTAGTTTAATCTGTGTGAATGGGCTTCTAGATACCTTTAGGTTCTAAGACGAGTACGCCAACAAGTACGAGATTTCCTCAATACTAAGTAGTGCTCGCGCTTGAACTAGCGTCATTTTGGCTGGAAAACGGGATAGCCGTCGTCACTCTCTACGAGTTTCAGCGTGTCGAAGTTGGCGAAAACAAGTCATCAAATGTTAGAAGTTTAATCATTTTGCGATCGGGAGAGGGAGTAACCTCCTTCACTAAAGATAACAGTGCTAACTTTTCTAGTGAAAAATGGTAAAATGAAGCTTTCCGGGAACTCTTTATTTTAAAATTAAATACGCGAAAAAACTTTACGTCAAATCTCGTAATCGTAGTCGTGCTCGTTCTCGAATCTACTGAAAGGTATCTATTAGCTGGGTAAAAACGAATTTTTCTAAATACAAGATAATATTTCTTTAAAGGTTCCCATTGATTTTCCGGCGGAGGGCTATTCCGGTGTCGACGTAGACAGGTATATATATGAAGGCTATATCCTTTTATTTTTATCCATCCAAAATATTCCTCTCTTTTTGATTGGCTTAAGTCCCACAGCTAGTTCTTCATAGCTAGTTAGAGTTAGTGAAATTTGAAAGGTGTTTGCTTTTATTTTGCGATTGACATCAATGGTAAAAAATCAGATAGGATATCATCTGAGGTGTTTGGAAAAATGGCGGACGATTACACTCCTTATGCGTAAATGAAATAACCGAGACAGAACATGATATATAGCACTCAAAAAACAGACCACCAAGTTGAGAAAGTTGTAATCGCTGAAGTCTAAGGTAAAATCTCCAGCGGTTCTCGGAAATTCAATTTTTAAGAAGGGTAAACTCATTCTGACCGAGAGAGAGTCCCATTATTCTCTGTTGTTCTGACCTTTAAATTGCAATTTATTTGGTGTGCGCAATGCGTGACGGTCGGCAAAAATGGGATGTGCTTAAGCAGGCTGCGAGGAGCTTAGCGAGGAGCCCGGTCATTCTCATATCGTCGCGATATTTTTTTCGGTGCTTTAAAACGAAAGCAAGAATTAAGTTTTTGATCTAGCTTATCACTTTTAGTATTTGGCACAATCTAACCGCCATGATAAGCTAGCAAAAAAATTAGTTCATTCTCGCAAGGAGCCTAGTCTAAGGTAACCCTGTTCTCGCCCCAGACCCTCGATCATGTTTCTCTTTTCTGGGGGCACGAGTGTCTAGGGTGGAGAATGTACATTTGCGAGTAGCTTTATCGGTGTTGTATTTGTGTCTTTAGGGTGGACTTTGAGAAATATCCTGGACTTATTGACGTGGAATATTACAATGTGACTATGCAAGCAGGGGATTGTCTGTTCATTCCCCAAAGATGGTAATTATTCTATTAACTTGAATTCTAGAAAAAACTGGATGTGAAATAAAACGCCGAATCATTGTCAGTCGGAATCATCTTTCCACGCAGTACATTCGAACTACTGAGTGATTTCGAGGGACAAACAACACACTAAGAACAATAAAAAACGATTGAAATAAGTAATAAAATTAAGTTTTAGAGAGTTTATGCGATTTTGAAGGTGTCCTTGCTTTTGTCCAGAAAATATTTTACATTTTGAGCTGTTTTGGATAAGGTGCCCAATGAGTTCTGGTAGATATGCAAAAAATATTGTAGTCGTGAGAATCGCATATTGCAATCATTGACATTGCAAAATTAAAAAAGATTCTCCGAAAGTATTGTTCACGCCAATTTACGTCTGTCTCGTGACATTTTGCGAAAAGAATAGGTACTAGTACCTGCTTTATTTGTTGCTGCCCTATCCACACTAATGCGTTTTCGTTGTCATCGAAAAGGCATCGATTGATTCGTGTTCACGCTACCGTTTTCATACCATCTCGACTGTCCACAAAACGGTATAGAATTGCTCGTTGAGACGCAAGTTGAACTCTTTGCGCATGCTACAATCACACGCGCCTGCGATATTTTCGGTCGTTCTTTTCATTCGATGCGTTTTCGACCGTCTACACTAATACGATATGAATGCGTTTTCGTTTTGATCCACTTAGTTTCACAAACGTTTTCAAATCGTTTTTGATGAAAACGCTCAGCGTATTAGTGCGGACGGAAGGCCTAAACGCGTCGAATTGTATGCGCATTAGTGAGCGCGGGGCCTAAGGACGCTCTTCTTTTACCCTAGACAATGATTCCACTGAAACTCGGTAACAACTTGTGAATTTGTTGATGCTGAGAATGTCTAAAAACCTGACACTAGCAATATGAGTTTGTTTTGCTTTTGAAAGGTTTCATCAAGTTCGGTCGTATGGACGAAACATAGCTGTGAATCTATGGTGGCATCATTTTCCGAAGTTCATACCACAGTACTGCGATGGAATGGAACCGAATCAGACGCTAGAAAAGTTCAATTTTACCTCACTGGATGAGTTAATGGAGTCAAGAGAACAAGACATGTTGTAAGTACGAGTGAAGGTGAATTTTTACTCCAGCTTTATTTTTTATGTGCGCATGGGGCAAACTTTAACTGATTTTACTAATGAGTTTTTTAAATAGAGACAACCTATGAAGGGTAGCAAACATAAATTAAAAGTTGAAAGAGGTATTTAACGTTTATGTTTACGCGTGAGAATGGAAAGTCACCTTAAAAGTAGTTATTCAAAGAGTCTGTACGGGCGGATTTTCGTACGCTGACATCATAGGCACATTTTCTGGGATAGATAGGTTTCCTGTCCATTCTCTTTTAGGTATGGGGCACCCCTGCGGCTATGACGCTCCGCTGTGACGAGGAATCCAAAACGTAACCTCGTTCTCGAGGAAGGAAGAGAACTGAAAGGAAACCCTGGGAACGAGGTTGCCCAAAAGAAGGCGTGAAATTGTTGAGAACAATTTGCTGACTTTTCGATTTGTAACAAACGCTTGGTTTTCAAATACTGAAAGCAGAGGCTAAACTTTCGCGGCGCGAGCTGGCGTGAAAATGAAAAATAATGCGTCTTGTTCGATTACATTTATAGTAATTTCAATAACTATACACGCAGGCGTAAATAACTCCTGGACATCAAAAATTACCACATAATTTTCATATGCAATTATTATAAATAGCTTGTAAGCCCACTGTTCGTGACCAATCAATTTTCAGAAATTTATCAGTTAGTAGATCAATATTATGATATCACTACTGAATTAATCAGAAAGGAATGGAGTCCCAAAGTATATGAAAAGTATTACTATTATTATTTAATTTTTTTCCAGGCAAATTGCCTAATCGGCATCGGCGGTGTACGGAGACTGTTACCATACATGTCACGCTTCATTGAGAACGGCGCGTCTCAGTTTATGAACGTATATGAAAGTTTGATCTTCGATATCGCTAGGACGACTTCGTGAATATTATGCTCTTTAGATCCGTGTCTAGGGTACGGGTGTTTTCAAAAATGTGCTTAATTTACATCAACAATAATCATCAAAACAAAATAATCAAGAAGAAATAATATTCGTTGAAAAATTGACTAGAACTTAAGAACTGCAAAATGACCTTAAATAAATCATTAGACCCGAGGAAACCAAACATTTTTCTGAAGATATATTTTAACATATTTCGGTCACTATGGTGCCTAGCTACGCTGTACAAAGCAAAAGAGTCAGCCTATTTTTGGATGTTCTCTGCTTACCGGAATATGATTTATAACCGTGGCCGCTTCTCTGCTGTGAAAACTATCGTAAGATAACTATGTAATAATCCATATTGGTTTATAAAACAAGTTGAAAATATATACTAACTTCTTTCTCCGAAGGAAAAGGGGTAGCCATACGGTTCGTCTTGGTGATCTCCACACGTTGACCAGTTTAATTGTCTAAAATTGGTCTACAACACCTGTTACTTCTGTTTTCTCTGTTGAATGGCTCATCCCTTTGAAGAAGGACAAAAAATGTTTTCATTTAGTTATTTCGATAACTTTGACTGAACTACTAGTTTATAAGCACGAGGGGAACTTACAGTCTCATTTCTGTCACCTACCGGTCGCTTACGAGCCGAGATCACGCCGGGCCGAGCGCTAGCAAAGATCATTGTTCACTCGTGCCAGTCTCGACGAGCCCGGCTGATTTGGTTATTTAACGCTGAAGATCACCTCTTTGACTTAATGGAATAATTGAAAAGGAAATGCTGGACAATTGAAACAGAAGTTTTCTAAATTAATCTCACTGGTACTGATGGTCATACTAAGTATTTTGGTGGTCACTTTGAGTTTGATCAAATGTTTGTTTGCTAGCTCTTACTATCGTACACCATCTACACTCTTTTTATTTTTCAATAATTGTCTACCTATTCGTTTTCTTTATCGTTAGTAATCATTATTACTTGCGTTTTTATTTCATTTTTTTCTGGAACACGTGGTTTGTCCTGTCAATGCCCTTTCCATACCTGTTGAGGAACGCTTGTAAACAAATCAGTCTGAATAAAATAATTGCGATTATGGGTTTCTACCAATAATTCATGCATATTGTTCAAAACTAATCTAACAATGCTTGAACAACTTTTTGCAGAAACCATTTGCAGAGCTATCTTCGCAAAATGAACGAAATTTCCTACAGGATATTTGTAAGAAGATTAAGAAAGGTATTGTCAGCTTGTGATTTTTTAGGCATATAAATAAATTCTCCACGTGCAGGTAAAACAGCTTTTTATAAGTAATTATTCCAGTATTATGTGGGAAACACAATAGGCAAAGTCGTTACGTGAGAAAAAAGTTCAGTCTCGCACAGGAATTTTTGGTACACCCACATGACTGCCGTAATAAAGTCATGTGAAAAGGACCTGGGTATACTCAACAAAGTTTTATACTGAGAGGCTTCGCCGCGAGGCTCAACCCCTCACCTTTTATGTACATTTTGGACCCCTTTCATATACCTTCTATTAACAACTGAAAAGGTACCCCTTTCACATACATATTATAGAACTTTGCATCCCATTTAACTGCTGTAAATGCACTGTATGAATACGAAAAAATCACAAAACCGAATCATTTTCTTGACTTTTTCACAGGCATAAAAGTATCTTTTAGCCCTTTTAGGCCTTTTTACAGACCGAAATGGCAGATTCCCTATACCCTAAGCCTAAAATAGGTACTCCTTTCGGGCGGAGCCACCCCGTACAGGGGGAGTATTCCCCCAGGGGAGAAACAATCGATTGCGTTTATAAAGGTTCAGGAAAAGGTTTCTGAAGCCCCTGAGGTGTAAAAATGTGAGCTTCACTTGGACCTTTGCTAAATTCTCAAGAAAATGTACTCGAAGAGACGTTCGGAGCTCGAGGAGTTTCTCGAGGTCGTTTTTCATAGAAAGGCTCCTTCTGAAAACTTCTCCTCCATATGTTTCGCTGAAAATGATGGGCAAAGTACTTGGAAAAGGAGTGGTATCTTAGGTATCTTACATGTATTCCGTAAATGATCTACTAATGGTCCATATCACTCTTCAAATATCAACCTCAACGTCAGAATACTCATTCAGGGTCATTGTCTTACCATCGTTAATCGTCTGTCCTTTGAACTTTACTTTGAATAAGATGCCACGCGAAACCCTTGTTAATCAAGCAAGGAACAGACTAAATTGAATGATTTTGCTCCTTTTTGCTATTTCCTGAAATTTTTGAGTAATTGTCATGTGGGCTTCTATTAGAGAGGGACGTCCAGTACAAACTTTGAAGGGACGCGTTTATAATATAAGAGGAGTTTATTTGAGAGAGGGCGCTTATTAGATCATTACGGTATGCGGCCTGGGAATGCTGGGTTTAATCTCTAGTTTTATTAACTTTTTCTTAGGATCCTCAGTTATTTAATAACGACTTGACAGAGTGGACTGAAGAACTGAAGGCAACAGCTAGGAAGGTAACAGAGCAAGGGTGTTAAGTTCAAGAAGAATTTAGGAATTTAAAGTGTTGGGACTGCGGGAGGTGTAGGTATTTTAGGCGTGAAATTCAGCACTCACTGACGATCACTCAGTTGACTAACATAGGATTAAATGCTACATTAGCTCCTCGGAACGTGTACAGTATTAAAAAGAACAATTTCGAAAGAGTTTGCCTTAGTTACAGATTCACCGCGGTCAAACGAGAGAACTTCCTGCAAAAGCTCAGGTTGTTACTTTCACTGTTACAAGCTTGGGATATTATTGGTATGCAGTCTTCCTTTAATTAACTTTTTCTGAGTTTACTCAAAACGTTCTTAGTGTTTAAAAACGGAAACTGGTGTTACTGTATACGTATTCTGCGAATGATGCCGAATAAAAATTGCAGAATATAAAACAAGATAACGGCTTGCAGTGGATGTTTGAACTGGATGGAAGTTATAGAGGTTGAAATCGCGCAAATTCCTCATCAGTGGTTTATTGTTCTCCTTTTTCAAGTTGTTTAGACTAATGGATGTGGACCGAGACAAGCATTTTTCTGTTTCTGATCTTCAAGTACTTGAAGAAGAGGATAACAGGGTAAGTGGTCAAGCTCTCGGGAAAAATACATCATTTTGGAACAGGTTCCTATTATTGCAGCGGTTGTTTAGTACTCGCGTTTCCCCTCACGTCGTATTTGCCAACTGGTTCGGTACTGCCTCGTTCTGGGGGCCTTTTCTCTCTGATCTACCGACTAATCAGTTCAAAACAAACTCAGCGATCCTGAACGGGTATAAAAAAAAACATTGAGAGCCTCAGTTTCACAATTAAGGTATGAGTTGATCGGTTGGTAGATCGATGAATCCTGACCCCACTCGATTGCTAGATAGACAAATTGATCGGTTGAAAAGAACAATAATTGTTTAGTCTTATTGAAAATTACCCCACTATATAAGCGAATCACAATGGTGAATTTGCGCCCTTCGATGGCCAGGATTGAAACGAAGTGCAAAAAAGAAAGAAAAAAACTCCTATGTTGTCGAAAAAAAAAAAACTAAAATATTCAGCTGAGCTAATTAACCGAAAAATGTGGAACTCGCCTTGACATAACCCCTTAGAAGGAAAAAAATTATTTTGGGGAGAAAGTCGAGTAAATGAAAAAGATTTGTACCCAGCAACCTGGTTTTCATCCGGCCGGTATACAGAGTATAACAAAAATAGTGTATTTTGTTCATCAAGAATGAAACTGGAGCTGATCATGAGTTCGTTGGCGTGATCATATGTGACCCGCAGATTAAAAATGCTGTAGTTCGCCTTCATTTCGCATTGTTTGCTTTTATTTTTCTGCAGGGGAAGATGAAGGAAATTATGAATGATTTCTATCGGATGGCTGACGTGATCGACAAGGAACGGGAAAAAAATAACGTGGAAACTGAGAATGGAGTTAGTACGGAGAAAGATAATGATGACAGCTTGGGAGATGGCGATTATTATATTGAACCAGTTTCCAGGAAGACCACAGGCAAAACCTCTAAAGACGAACTCTAAGAGTCCAGTGTGCGGGCCCTGAATTTTACTAAAACAATAATACTGTAATGGATAATGAAGAGCAGTTACTGGAATTATTTCCTTTCTTTTTCGCTTAAAACTTATTACTATTGAAGCCTAAACGTCTATCTTGAATGTAAACAATGGTTGCTAACCATTTACATGGGCAAACCGATCGGTCCACGGTTTAGAGGTTTAGGCAAATGGTACGCAAAATTCACTTGATGTTCCCGGCCATCTCCACTGTAAGGTTCTGGTTTTTCAGCCTCTCCAGTTCCAAGAAAGATATGCCATTTGCACTAAGAGGTCACGTGACATCATTTAAATAGAAATAACAGTTTTATGATTTTGCCTTCGAAAAACGATTAATGGGTCATATCTTAAACAAAATAATAGTGATTTAGTTTTTCAAACCCGCACCATGGTCCATGCAAGGGTCTTCATTCAAGCAAATTAAACTCAGCAAACTGAATCATTAGAAAATACAGAAAACTGCACATAAGGATTTGTTTTGCTCGCTTCAGTCAAATCCAGCTCCAGCAATTGTTTACGGGTAAAGAGTCGATTGTTTTGGAGTCACTGCCGGCAGTTGTCGTTCTCCGCTACTTCACAGCGAGTGAAAGGAAAATTTGCGTACAGAAAGATAACAAAACTATGTAATTAAAACTGAAAAAACTAAAGGAAAAAAACTCTGACTATTATTACTTGAGCAACAGAAAAATGATTGAGGTACTCTTTTCTTCTCGAGTAAGCTTGCTGGCCTTCTAAAGTTCCCAGGAAGTTTTAAGCGCTCAAGTTTGTTCACTCGCAAGCGTTAGCATTACGGTTCTTTGACATAAGACAAGGATAAAGCTGGTTCTGCAAAGGTGTAAATAAATCTGGGCATGTAACAAAACTAACCATAACTACTAATAACAGAATACAAGCGAGGTTTAATTCAGTCCGGCGAAAGAAGGCTAAGCACTGGACACAAAATCAATTCAAAAATCGAGAGAGGAGAGGGAAATTGACCTAAACTGTAGGGAGGATCGGGGAGAAATTGGCTGACAGAGATGATTCCCCCCTTCTGGTCACTATTACTGTCTCTTACCAAAGTTATCCAAAGACATGCTTTGTTAAATGAATCCATGCGTTCTAGCGACTCAGCAACAGCGCCTAAAATTAACAATTAGTTCATGCGTCAGCGTGCGTATGTCGAGATATTGAGCACGCGGGAAGTTTGGAGAGCACGAAAGAGGCGTAAGAGTTGCACGAGGCGCAGCCGAGTGCAACTCTAGCCTCTTGAGTGCTCTCCAAACTTCCCAAGTGCTCAATAACTCGACATACGCACAGCTGCAGCATGAACTAATTGTTTTATAACATCATCAAAGCGATCAATGCATCAGTTAACTTATAATTTTATTATTGTAGGGTGCGCTCAAAGCAGTACGCGTCAATGTTTACGTGACTATATATTTTTTTCCTCACAGTTAATCTTATGTTTTTATCCTGAAACTGAGAGAAAGTGTACTCTGAAATGATTATAAAATCCATATTTAGGTGCCGGAAAACTATTAATTTACCGAAAAATTGTTATTGAGAGAAAACAAGTTTGCAAAGAATGAACTCACGCCATAACCCGCACAGCTCGCGGAGATGACAACAATAACAACAACAACACTCACCTCTTTTCCTTACTATCGGTTAACAAATTCAAACGTTTCCTCTTAAATTTCCTTATAAAACACATCGTAAACGCTTCCTTGTCTATTGCTGAGTTATGGATGAACTCAGGAGACTCAGGATTGCTAAGCTCACAACCACTCGAGGAATTACGAATAGTTTATTGACGTCATCAGCGTGCTCAATAGGAATATGAAGCACGCTCGCGCTATTGAATTTGATTAGGCGAATTTTCTAGCTATGTTATAAATAAAAATATACTATCTTTGCTCTGGAAACACAATACTTTTCTTTTTGTTTATTGCACTTTATTAAATAACAGTTATTTAGGTACATATTTATAGAAAAACAAAAAAACAAATAAGCAAACAAAACAAGCCAAAAACGGGAAAGAAAGAAAGAAAGAAGATAAAAAAAGATTTGTACAAAGGAGGACTTAAGCCCGGAACCTTCGGCTACATGCGACTTTACTTTACCACTACACCACGAAGGCTGATTACATCACTCTGGCGAAAACTCTTTAACTTAATGCGCTATCCAGGGAACTTCCGCCAGCAAATTCGTTCAGTATGATCGAGCCGCATTAACCGAGCTATTGACAGTGAGAAAACAATACCAACGCATTTCATGGCAACGAATGAATAAAATAACATGTGCTTTACAAAGCCGATACACCTCGTCAGCGAAGTAGGGGGCAAAACATACGTTTCCTTATCTCGATTTCTGCTGTTATTTTGAAGCTACTGGTCAAAATCACATCCATTTTCGGCCCATACAGGTTCTTAAGAATGGAATGGCATGACATTTTCTTACTTTCAGATCACTTTCCAGCAAGCTGGAATTTGTATATCCGGGGTATATCCCCCGTGATCATTCGGAGTCAGAAGAGTAAAGCTGAGAGTAATTGCTCATTTTCTGGTCAAGTTTAACGCTTGGACGAGTCAAAGGCTCTTGAAATCCAATCCCCAAGTTGACCATCGTACTTATTTGAAAGACTCGTACGTGTCTTAAATTTGGTAAGACCTCTAACCGTGCTGTAGAAAATTTGCCATAAAGAAAACTCTGAGTCTGAGCAGCGAACGCCGAACGATGCACGATCAGCGAAGAATTTGATCCCACCGAACTTCGGAAAGCGCCTGCTTCTTCGGAAGCGACAGATCTTCGCACTCTCGAGTTCGGACCCGATTAATTACGAAGTCCGTCTACTACGAGTGAGCGAGTGACTCATTTGCATATCTCTGTCTCTCCAATAACTCGTGGTACGCTCGCGCGTCCCCACGAGTTAAAAACGACATTGAATTTTCAATAAGACTATCTCGATATAATTAAACTCAAAAGCCAGTGAAAAGCTTGTTCGAAATCGGCTTGTCAAACGACCGATACACCGGATTAATTCACAAATGGATACTCCTTCCGCTGGAAGATCAGCCATCTTCTACTCGCAAACTCCCGAGAGCTGGGTGAGAGACGTTTGAATCAACAGTAGCAAAATCAGTTTCTTTTTACTTAAAAGTATTGCATACAACTGTATCTTGACAACTTTGATGATGGAACCTGTTAATATAAACGATTATGATCGACCGCACGCAAACGAACAAGAAAGCTCTCTGATCTACGTACAGAGACGGTGCGGGCATCCAGGCTCTGATGTTAATACGCTTAAATTAATAGCTTGCAAAGCAAAATACTAAATCAAGGCGTTTGTAATTTCCTCACCTGCTCCGTAAGAAAAAACACGCTTAGCAAATCTATGAAGCTTAATTTTCCGCCATACTGCTGGCTACCATATCGCCTCTCAGGCAAAATTCTTACGAATTTGGCCACACCTCGTTGCCTTACCATTTGATTAAACATACTTAAAATCCAGCTGGCGTAATCTACAAGGACAAATATATGGCAGGCCATATCATTCAAAAGTGGTACGAATGCTTGATTGATGATCAAGATCACGATCGCTATGATTGAGTTTTTCGATCGGTGGTTGAGAATGAAGATCTTTATGGTTGAGATTATCGATTGATTAATGAGAACCACGATCGCTATTATCTAGACAGGGTTTGTATACTAGAAACACAATCGCTGTGGTCGAAAGAAAGATCGGTAATGCTCTCTGAAGATCTATTTATTTATTTTATTTTATTTATTTATTTAGTCTCTCACAAAGCCTTATACAACTGAACAAAAGTAGTTAATTAAATTATAAAATTAATGTGACAAGGAAGCCTAACGACGCTTGAAGCTTATATCAATAGGCTTCCTTCAACTACCTAAAGAACTAAATTCATGGCTGAGTGCAGAGTGAGCAAGATCAGAAAATTAAGCGACAGATCGGCTATCAGTGAGATAATTCTTTAATTTTTTAAAAAAAACAAATATAGAAGGAGAGCTAATTAGTGAAATAGGCAACGAATTCCAGATTTTAGGTCCTCGGTAAAGGATACTGAATTCAGCTTTATTTTGTTCTACAAAAATGAGTTCTATACTGATCGAGAGGCTAGTCGAATTTCGCATTGATGGACTTGATTACTACTTAAGAATAAGTCACGAAAGCTACTAGGCAAAAGATTATGGTGATAAGAATACATAAAAGTAGCGACAGAAAATGAAGTAATACTAAATATGTCAAGGACTTTAAGCTGGCTAAATATAGGGGCTGTATTTGCTGGACACTTTTGCAAAAGGTAAATAGAGTTTAGGTTGGAACAGCCGGTGGAGGACCAGGCGACAATACAGTATGTTAAGAAAGGATATTCAAGGGAGTAATACAAGGTCATCAAAGTTTGGGATGATAGGTAAAAGCGGGCTTTCGCAATTTATTTCCACATAGCCTGTGTACAGACGTCCCCCCTCCCTCAGAAAAAATATCTTCTCCCGATTTTTTTTCTGAGGGAGGGGGGACGTCTGTACACAGGCTATTCCCACACTTTTCGAGATTTTTTTTTAGACGAAATCAATGTGTAGTTTCCAAGAGAGATGCTGATCAATGAGAACACCTAAAATTTTTGTCTCCGTGACTTGCTTGGCACAGTATTTTCCAGAGTAAGAGGGACAATAACATTGGCTTTCTTTTGCCTTGGATCAAAAATTATAAAATTTGTTTTAGTCAAATTTAGAGATAACTTATTCACTTTAAGCCAAATAATTATTCTTGCAAGTTCATTGTTAACAAAAGAAACGAGGTGGTTGACATCTTTATGGGAACAAAAGATACTTGTGTCATCAGCAAACAGTAAAGATTGAGTGAGATTAGAGACATTAGGAAGATCATTAATGTAAATAATAAACATCTAAAGGACTGGAAAGAAGAAGTGTCGATTGGGGATCCAGAATGTCAAATGCAACGATTGAAATTATCGATTTTGGCGGTGACAATCAAAGAGAACTGGAAACAAGTGGGGATACATTATGTTCTTTACATCAAGTAGAATGTAAAGAGGGACTGAAAGTGAGCTAAGATGATTGCCACCGACGGACATACTGAAGATATTAACATATTTCTTTCCTCCTTGGGACATTGTTTCGAGGAAGCCGATAAGGCTTTAAAAGATGAATGCAATTCTGTCCCTCTGGATTATACAGAAAGCAGACTCGAGGACCACCTTCAAATTGTCAAATTGTCAAATTGTTAGTTTTAAAGTCCCTTGTATTCGTAATTTCGGCTGATTTCGCCCCGGGAATCCAGGACCGTATTTGACGCCCGATTCTGTATTTGGATCCGCTAAGGCGTTTTTTACAGCGCTAATTCCAGCCGTGAACAGCGCCTCAGCTGATCCAAAAGCAATCAGCATTGCCTTTCAGCGCTGATGTGACTTCACCGGTTGAAAAGCCAAACATAAAGTCAGTTGAGTTCGGCACATTAACGGTGTTTGCGCCGGCCCTTTGATGTTTACGAATTCAAGTGATTTCTGATAGACGTAATTCGTCTCGAGTTATTTTTAACACCACAGATCCCAAGGGGGATTAGACAACAGCCAATCACATAGCGCGAATGTGTTCCGCGTGGATGACCCACGCTAAGAGGCACGCGTCCTTCACGAATTGACGCAGAACAAAATGGCGGAAGATGCGGAGAGCGATATTGCTATTCGTTTGGTCGACGAGAGACGACTACAGAGAGATTTCTGCTAAAGCTGTGTCAGCGAAACGGAAATTAAAAGAGAATCGCCCTTTTTCTCTTGTATAGAGCTAACAGTAAGGCAGGGAAATCCTTAACACGAAATTTCTCATTTTATTAAAGCACTGAGGTTACGACAACTTCGAGTTAAACTGATTTCACGGGTTGTCAAAGAGTTCAGCGATTCCCTTTTCCCAGGTGAGCGTCAACTCATTTCGCTTCGATATTCAGGAATACCTTAATCTTGGTCATTGATACGAAAATTTTAGATTTGCAAAATGTACAATTCCACTTTCGACACGTTTCACGTCATTTTTGCCGCTTGCTGCTGGTGAGGACATCTGCGGTCTACTGCATTCAATAAAATAACAACGATCACTTTAATTAAGCAATAATTAGCCATTATCGTCTTTAAGATCATAAAAAGTTCTTCATCTTCTGTTGTCTAGAATGAACAAACTCGACCGCGATTCAATCACGTGCCCAGAGTCTTTTGGTGACCAAAAGGCCAGAACTAGGCTCTGGGTACGACACTGACCGCGATTTCTTCTATTTGCAGATTTTATCAGTTGTTTGCCCCCACTCCCCCTCCCCCATGAGAAACCACGTGACTTTGCTTTTATCCTGTCAGTCCTTAAGCGCGTGCAAAGATGGCTGCCATATTCTGCATATTGGCCTGGCCCGGGTTGCTAAAACGTTGAATATCGCTATCCACCAGATAAATCACTATCCAGCGGATAAGTATTAGGGAAACCAATTGTGGTATCCACTGGATAAAGATTTATCCGATCCAGTGGATAGCGGTATCCACCTTTTGAACAACTGGGGCCAGGTCAAGAACAAAAGAATTCCTCTCCACTGGGGAACTAAACTCAATTTTCGGGTAAATTCTTCGAAAAAACCTTACTGTATTGAAAACCAATCTCTCTGTAGTCGTCTCTCGTCGACCAAACGAATAGCAATATCGCTCTCCGCATCTTCTGCCATTTTGTTCTGCGTCAATTCGTGAAGGACGCGTGCCTCTTAGCGTGGGTCATCCACGCGGAACACATTCGCGCTATGTGATTGGCTGTTGTCTAATCCCCCTTGGGATCTGTGGTGTTAAAAATAACTCGAGACGAATTACCTATGGAATAGGATGTGTGGGGGGGATGCCCTCTCTGTCATACATGTTTATTCAAACTCATAATGACCACATGAATTTGAAAGGGAGAGTCTAGAGGTTAACCCTTTATCCTTTCTTGATGTAAGTTAAGTTAATACAGCAGGACGAAATGGCCTTCAGTAGAGACGCTTTTAACACTTTGAGAGGTTTTCAACCTTTCAAATTAGAATTATAAGTTCGTGACAGAATTTGAAAAGATAAAATTCATGCATAATTGACTATATTACTTTATATATATTTATTAACGTTGCATCCAGTTTTCGTATTCTAATCTTGCATAGTAAAGTAACACGTGTTCTTCAAGTCATGCCATCTTTCTACTTTTTTCTCGGTTTTACAATCCTACGCACGGTTTGTTTACAGTGGGCGAATAGTATCCAACCCGACGTAGAAACAAATCTCGATTTTGCCTCCATTCCGGGTCATTTGGAAGAGCTTGGCGCGAAGAACACAAAACGTTCTGTCAAAGTGATTCAAAGTTTTCCAGACCCTGAAACATTTTTCAGAACATACGTGGACGGAAGTAAACCAGTTCTGATCCAAAATGGAGCAAAAATGTCGTCGGCATTTGAAAAGTGGACGGATGAGTATTTCTTGTCGCTTCCCGAATCGAGCGAGCACAAAATCCGGGCGGAACAAAGAAAGAAGGAGAAGAGAACAGTTCCTCCAGAGGAAATGTCCTTTAGTGATTTTGTCAAGACGTACACAGAAAAGGATATCTATATGGTCAGCAGTGTTCCTGAATTTATAAGGTGGGTTATTGAATTAAGTTTTGTTTACAAATCATTGTAAGCCTCGGTATAAAAGAAGTTGATTTATGCGTTTTCACTAAGATGAATGACGAGCTATTGTTGCACTCTGCTAATATAATCGTTTACAGTTGACTGATTTTGTAGTAATATTTTCTGTTTGGTTCCAAAATAGCTTGTTATTAAAGGAACCATATAGGGTCACTTCTGTAGGGTCACTTCTGTGCTAAAACTTAAGTTGGGCCAACTTTCTAAAGTTTAAGTCCATGTCCATCCTTACCATCTGTAGCAAAAGCAAATAGGAAGAGTTTCAATGCCTACAGTTAGCCTATAAAACAGCCGATATTTCGCGACGCTACCACTGGTTTCCCCGCGACTGAATGACTTCTGAGAAACGAGCGCAGAAATTCCATACTGATGACGCGTCACTATCCAGATCTGAATACTGCCTTTGATTGGTCGTGCCGCGTGAGAAGTTTGCTTCAGTCAATCAGAAGCACTTCCCAGATCTGGATAGTAACACGTCAATAGTATGGAATTCTCCGCTCGTTTCTCAGACATCATTTCGTGGGGAAACCAGTGGTAGAAATGTCGGCTGTTTTCTCAGACTAAAATATAGTCTAAAATAACAAAAGTGGACCATTATTTGTGGATGTCAAAGCACTTTTTAGCTTTTTTGAAAGATAGCCGAAATAAAAGTTAGGCCACCGCTCAACCTCTCGTGGTACTAACTGTTAACATATCCCTCAGTTACGGGTTACATATACAAAACGAGAAATTGACTTTTTTCACAGGGTGTTTTACGATCCTAAGGGCTCCAAACGTCCTTTTCCAAAAACGCTAAGATGCGAAAATAAACCACCTCCGCAGTTTTGCCTCATTGTTGGGTAGTTATAGCACAAGAGCACTTTAATTAGAAAAAAAACACTTAAGCTTTTTTCCACGTTACTTTGTTCAGTGTATTCATTTACGTTTGTATTCAATCATGTGTGTATTTCTAGCCTAGCAACTAGACATAAGCGCAGTAAAATAATCCTTGAACAACAATGATTATGGTCCAGAGATGCAAGTAAGACCAAGTAATGGCAAATCTAGCAAAAAATGGCCACGGGGTTGGCGTAAATCCAAATGGCATGTTATTGCACACAAAAGCAAAAATGGCAAATGTCTCGAAAAAAGAAGCAGATTCCTCTGCATGAAATTTGCTGTGCTTGGCTTGGGGCAAAAGGCAGTAATTACTTCTTTATTTTTATATCATGTAGGAAAGACATAGTACTTCCTCCCCCTCTGTTGTGCAGAGATATCACAGAAGCGGACATGATAGCCGACGCGGTAAGTAATAACCAGTTGATATCAGTGCAATATAACAATATGTATATATATATGTATCATCCCATAGCTGCCACCTGCCCAAGTGATATGGTCGTGCGCGTACGTAAGGTATTGGCCAACAGGGGATTACCGCGCGGCTGTATAGTGTGACCATTTGGACCAAGGGTAGCACTTAGCACTGAAAAGTGTAAGCGCTATATAAATATTTTATTATTTTATTATTTTTATTATAATTTTATTATTATTATTATTATTATTATTTTTGTATTTTTATTATTTTTTTTAAGGGTAAGGGAGCTTAAGGGGTTGGACCTCCGTTCGGAGCCTCTCCGTATAATTTTTTTGTTTATCCCCCCGGACTTATTGAACTCTTTCAGTGTTATTGTCCTTCTTACAGTATATTCTCTCTTATTACAGGTGATGTGGTTTAGCAGTGGAGGAACCAAATCTGTCTTACACCTTGACGATGGACTTGATAATATCAACTGTTTGTTCAGAGGGACTAAGGAACTATTATTTATTGATTACCAAAAGTACAAACACGTGGTACGCTAACTCATTTAACATCGTATTTTATATACTACACTTACAATACATCCTCTAGAATGGCCCGCTGATAGCCAGAGGGAGGCGCTATTTTGTCCAATGGGCCATTTCCGAGTTGCCCTAGCCTTTGTTTGAAAGCGAAGCTGAGTAAATAAGTTTTAATTCTCATGCAAATAAAAATCATTTTCCCAAGAAAGGTTTTCTCGGAAATAGCCAATTCCCCCTCCCACGTTGAGTACTTCTACCGATCTAAAATAACTTCCCAGCTCGTTCTGATATAGGCTTTCAAAAAAGTCCTTCGTTCGATTCTTCGTCGCTTGGTTGACCGCTTCGCGGCCTAAAGAGTTCGCTCCGCTCGCTAAGAAACTCGTGAGGTCGACTTGTAGCAAGACTAGGGACCTTAAGCAAAGACGACGACGACGGCTGTTAAAACGTCGCTAAAAAAATGAATTTGCGTTCTTTGAAAGTTGATCGGACGCCATCTACCGTCGACGCCATAAGTGGATTTAGTTTGTTGTTGGTTCTCTTCTTTGATTGCTCCGAGAGGTTTTTCTCCTTCCGGTTTTCCCATCTCCCCCCCCCCCCCCCAGTCAAAAACCAACAGTTTCAAATAGACCTGTCACGGTTTTCGACGCCATCTTGACGAGTAGGCAAACGCGTGAGAAATTACAGTGTTTGTATGAGAATCTAATTTCGAATAATTTCCATAAAATCGCTGTTCTGAAAAAAATATGATTTGTAAACTAAAGCTTCATTCCTAAGGACTCTACTGAAAAAAATTGAGGGCGTTACATGCACTAAAAGACCTAGAACCACTTTTTAAATTTGCTATACATTTGTCTGTAAGAAAGTCCCGGGAAAAATTACAGACAAATATATGGAAAATCTAAAGCAACCCTCTGGAGAAATTTAAGCACAGGTACGCCCCCCAAATTTTTTAGGACAGTCCTTTACTTTGTAGCTTTAGTTTACAATTGATATTTTTTTCAGAACAGCCGTTTTATGGAAATTATTCGACATTAGATTTTCATACAAACACGGTAATTTCTCACGCGTTTGCCTACTCGTCAAGATGGCGTCGAAAACCGTGACCAGGTCTATTCCAATTCAACCAGGAATCATGTAGACAAAGAAGCACTACGTGGATGTGCTGCCTTTGAATTCTTATTTATTGCTGTTTATCTTCTATTCACGCTACTGTCGAGTACTTTGCATGACGATGGTCTTATACGAAGATTTTGGATTAAGAAAGTTGTTCAGAGTGGATTTTATTTCAGCTCTTCCTAGGACATCTCAAATTTAGAGAGGAAATCATTGAAAAAACTTGTTTTGAAAACAGATTTTGGATTGATGAAGAAATGTTAGACTCCTTAACGATTTTCATAATTGAATAATTATCAGTTCCCGGGTTGATTACGAACAAATGACCAGCTGCCAGTTGACTCGCCAGCTCAATTTGGTGCGCCTCACCGGTATCGCAGTGGTCAGGGTGTCGAATCCCGGCAAGCATAAGATTTTTTCAGACTTTGTTTTTGCAACAGCATAAGCTGCGTTTTTGACTGGGATGATCTTCTCTGCATTTTATACTTCTTCATACCTCAATTCAAGTATATGAAACTTTTCTAGTGAAAAATGGTAAAATGAAGCTTTCCGGGAAGTCTATATTTTGAAAATACGTGAAAAACCTTTAAGGCATATCTCGTATTCTTAAAAAGTCGTCCTCGTCCTTGAATCTAAAGGTCTCTATTTGCTGGGTAATAACCAATTTTTCTAAATATGAAATAATATTTCTTTAAAGGTTCCCATTGATTTTCCGGCGGAGGGCTATTCCGGTGTTGACGTAGACAGGTATATATATGAAGACTATACACTTTTATTTTTATTCATCCTAAATATTCCTCTCTCTTTGATTTGCTTAAGTCCCACAGCTAGTTCTTCATACTGAATTATAGTTGGTGAAATTTGAAAGGTATTTGTTTTTATTTTGCGATTGACATCAACGGTAAAATATCAGATAGGATATCATCTGAGCTGTTTGCTGTGTTTGGTGGAGTTGTAAAAAAATGGCGGACGATTACACACCTTATGCGTAGATGAAATAACCGAGACAGAACATGATATATAGCACTCAAAAACCAGACCACCAAGTTGAGAAAGTTGTAATCGCTGAAGTCTAAGATAGAATCTTCAGCGGTTCTCGGAAAGTCAATTTTTAAGAAGGATAAACTCATTCTCACCGAGAGAAAGTCCCATTATTCTTTATTTCTCTGACATTATATTGAAATTTATTTGGTGTGCGCAATGCGTGGCGGTCGGGAAAAATCGGATGTGCTTAAGCAAGCGGCGAGGAGCCCGGTCATTCTCATATCGTCGCGATATTTTTTTGGTGCTTTAAAACGAAAGCAAGAAACAAGTTTTGTGATCTGGCTTATCACTTTTGTTGTTTGGCACAATCTAACCGCCATGATAAGCTAGCAAAAAAATTAGTTCATTCTCGCAAGGAGCCTAGTCTAAGGTAACCCTGTTCTCGCCCCAGACCCTCGATCATGTTTCTCTTTTCTAGGGGCACGAGTGTCTAGGGTGGAGAATGTAGATTTGCGAGTAGCTTTGCAACTGTTTTGTTTCTTAGAAAAGTTGTTATTGGTGTTGTATTTGCGTCTTTAGGGTGGACTTTGAGAAATATCCTGGACTTATTGACGTGGAATATTACATTGTGACTATGCAGGCAGGGGATTGTCTGTTCATTCCCCAAAGATGGTAATTATTCTATTCACTTGAGACCTAGAAAAACTGGATTTGAAATATAACGCCGAATCATTGCATTGTCAGCCCGAATCATCTTTTCACGCAGTACATTCGAACTACCGAGTGATTTCGAGGGACAAACAAAACACTAAGAACAATAAAAAACAATTGAAATAGGTAATAAAAATTAAGTTTTAGAGACTACAATTTTGAGGGTGTCCTTACTTTTGGCCAGAGGATATTTTACATTTTGAGCTGTTTTGGATAAGGTGCCCAATGAATTCTGATAGGTATACAAAAAAATATTGTAGTCGTGAGAATCGCATATTGCAATCATTGACATTGCAGAATTAATGAAGATTATCCGAAAGTATTGTTCACGCCAATTTACGACCGTCTCGTGACATTTTGCGAAAAAAATAGGTACTAGTACCTACTTTATTTGTTGCTGCCGTGTCCACACTAATGCATTTTCTTTGTCATCGAAAACGCATCGAACGATTCGTGTCCATGCGTGATTCATGCGATCTCGACTGTCCACAAAACGGTATAGAATCGCTCGTTGTGACGTAAGTTGAACTCTTTGCGCATGCTACAAACGTACGCGCCTGCGATATTTTCGGTCATCCTTTTCACTCGATACGTCTTCGACCGTCTACACTAATACGATATGTATGCATTTCCGTTTTGATCCACTTAGTTTCAAAAGCGTTTTCAAATCGATGCGTTTTCGATGAAAACTCTCAGCATATTAGTGCGGACGGAAGGCCTAAACGCGTCGAATTGTATGCGTTTTCAAACGAAAACGCATTAGTGTGCGCGGAGCCTAAGGCCACTCTTCTTTTACCCTAGACAATGATTTCACTGAAACTCGGCAACAACTAGCGAATTTGTTGATGCTGAGAATGTCTAAAAACCTGACACTATCAATATGAGTTTGTCTTCCTTTTGAAAGGTTTCATCAAGTGCGGTCGTACGGACGAAACATAGCTGTGAATCTATGGTGGCATCATTTTCCGAAGTTCATACCACAGTACTGCGATGGAATGGAACCGAATCAGACGCTAGAAAAGTTCAATTTTACCTCACTTGATGAGTTAATGGAGTCAAGAGAACTTGACATGTTGTAAGTACGAGAGAAGGTGAATTTTTACCCCAGCGTTATTTTTATGTGCACATGGGGGTAAACTTTAACTAGTTTTACCAACAGCTATTATGGCTCTTGGTTTTACGAAATGGCTTATTTAAATAGAGACAACATAAGAGGGGCAGCAAACGTAAATTAAAAGTTGGGAGAGGTATTTAACTTTTATGTTTAAGCGCGAGAGTGGAAATTCACCTCAAAAGTAGTTATTCAAAGAGTCTGTACGGGCTGACTTTCGTACGCTGACATCATAGGCACTTTTCCTGGGATAGATAGGTTTCCTGTCCATTCTCTTTTAGGCCTTGGGGCACCCCTGCGGCTATGACCCGCTATGACGAGGAATCAAAAAGGCAATCTCGTTCTTGAGGAAGGAAGAGAACTGAAGGGAAAACTTGGGAACGACTTTTCGATTTATAACAAACGCTTGGCTTTCAAATATTGAGAGCAGAGGCTAAATTTTCGCGTCGCGAACTCGCGTGAAAATGACAAATAATGCATCTTGTTCGATTACATGTATAGTAATTTTAATTACTATACATGCAGGCGTGAAGAACTTCTGGCCATCAAAATTACCACATAATTTTCATATGCAATTGTTTTAAAATAGCTTGTAGATCACTGTTCGTGACCAATCAATTTTCAGACATTTATCAGTTAGTAGATCAATATTATGATATCAATACTGAATTAACCAGAAAGGAATACAGTCCCAAAGTATAGGAAAGGTATTATTATTATTAATATTATTATTATTTGTTAGGGCAAATTTTTTTCCTTTTGTTTTTCGTTTTCTCACTTACTTGTTATCGTGTATTCTTTTCCTTTTCGCTCTCCGGTATTTTGTCTATTACGCTCCTTTGTTACGTGCTGTATGTAAATTTCGTTATAGTTTATTATCTCGCCCTTATTTATTACCAGTTTTACGGATCTATTAGTGTAACAACATTTGTCGAAGTAGGTTTTTTTTCTCGGTGGCCCTGACCACCAACCCCGTCTTACTCAGCATTTGGTAAGCAGCTTCGTTTTTCATCGTTTTTCATTAATTTCATTTTGCAGTCGCTTAAAAGTAGTGTTTCTGTATTGTAACTATTATTTTTTCGCTCTTTGTAGGAATTTACTTTTTTTATGGTTTGGTAATAGTAAAACATTTGCTGCTCAAGAGTTTACGTGTTGTGTTTGGAATTGGCCCTTGCCCGTTCATTTTGTATGGAATTGGCCCTTGCCCGTTCATTATTATTATTATTATTATTATTATTATTATTATCTCTTTTATCACAGTCTTTGCTGGTGTTCTTTTTGTGCATCAGCCGGATGCAAACCATGCACCTAGAGCGTCAGTCACTCAAGTCAATCATTCTGTTCATACACTGAGCACCTTTCTGAGGATTCGCGCAGATCCCAGCATGCAGATCTTTTGAATCTCTGTCATATTAGCTCTCTCTGATACTTTCTTGATGTTTTCTACCATACCCTTCTTCACTGTACCAAGCGCACCAACAACCACAGGGATCACTACGGTTTTCATATGCCACATTCTCTGTATTTCTAGTTCTAGGTCTTTGTACTTGCTTTTTTTTTCAGTTTCCTTCAGTGCGATGTTTCTATCTGATGAAACAGTGATATCAATCAGTTTGCAGGTGGAATTCACTGAATCTTTAACGATGATGTCTGGTCTGTTCGCTGTTATCGTTCTATCAGTATTGACTGGCATGTCCCACATGATGGTGATGTTGTTATCTTTATTGTGCATCACGGTCTCTGGTTCGTGTTCGTACCATTTGTCTGTAATCCCTATATCATGATCTTTACAGATGCTCCAATGGAGATATGCTGCAGCCTTATTGTGCCTGGAGATGTACTCTGTTTTGACTAATACTTCACATCCAGATACAATGTAGTCCACGGTCTCTTCATGTTGCGAACACATTCTGCATTTGCTCTCCACTTGCTGGCCACATATTACTTTCTGGTAGTTTCTGGTGTTTATTGCCTGGTCTTGAGCTGCTACAAGTAGTCCCTCTGTTTCTACTTTCAAATTACTTGACAACCATTTGTTGGTGGTGACTGTGTCTACATGAGGCTTCTCTAGGATCTTTGGATACTGGCCATGCAATGCTTTGTTTTTCCACTTTTCCTCTTTCATTGACTTCATCTTGGACTTTTAATTTTTTTCCAAGCAAATTGCCTGGTCGGCATCGGCGGTGTACGGAGACTGTTACCATACATGCCACGCTTCATTGAGAACGGCGTGTCTCCGTTTATGAACGTATATGAAAGTTTGATCTTCGATATCGCTAGGACGACTTCGTGAATACTATGCTGTTTAGATTCGTGTCTAGGGTACGGGTCTTTTCAAAAATGTGGTTAATTTACATCAACAGTAGTCATCAAAACAAAATAACCAAGAAGAAATAATATTCGTTGAAAAATTGACTAGAACTTATAAGAACTGCAAAATGAATGCTGAGGATCACCTCTTTGACTAAATGGAATAATTGAAAAGGAAATGCTGGACAATTGAAACAGAAGTTTTCTAAATTAATCTCACTGGTACTGATGGTCATAATAAGTATTTTGCTGGTCACTTTGAGTTTGATCCAATGTTTGTTTGCTAGCTCTTACTATCGTACGCCATCTCCACTCTTTTTATTGTTCAATAATTGTGTCTACCTATTCGTTTTCTTTATTGTTAGTAGTCATTATTACTAATGTTTTTATTTCATTTTTTTCTGGAACACGTGGTTTGTCCTGTCGATACCCTGTGAGTGTTCTATGCCTGTTGAGGAACGCTTGTAAACAAATCGTCTGAATGAAATAATTGCGATTATTCATGTATATTGTTCAAAACTAATCTAACAATGGATGAACAACTTTTTCCAGAAACTATTTGCAGAGCTATCTTCCGAAAATGAACGAAATTTCCTACAGGATATTTGTAAGAAGATTAAGAAAGGTATTGAATGTCAGCTGGTGATTTTTTAGGCGTATAAATAAATTCTCCATGTGCAGGTAAAACAGTTTTTATAAGTAATTATTCCGGATTAATGTGGAAAACACAATAGGGAAAGTCGTTAAGTGAGAAAAGAGTTCACTCTCGCACAAGAATTTTTTGTACATCAACATGACTGCCGTAACGTCATGTGAAAACTACCTGGGGGCACTCAACAAAGTTTTATGCTGAGAGACTTCGCCCCGAGGTTCAACCCCTCACCCTTTTATATATATTTTTGACAGCAAAGGTGCCCCTTTCGTATACCTTCTATCAACAACTGAAATGGTACCCCTTTCACATGTAGTTTAGAACTTTGCATCCTTTTAACTGCTGTAAAAGCACTGTATGAATATAAATGAATCACAAAACCACAACATTTTCTCGACTTTTTCACAGCCATGCATCTGTTAGCTCTTGTGGAGTTTTAGGCCTCTTTACAGACCAAAATGACAGATTTCCCTACCCTTTCATATACCTTGAGCCTAAAATAGGTACTTTTTTCGGGCGGAGCCACCCCGTGCAGGGGAGTACTCCCCCGGGGGAGAAACAATCGATTGCGTTTATAAAGGGTTCAGGAAAAGGTTTCTGGAGCCTCTGAGGTGTAAAAATGTGAGATTCACTTGGACCTTTCCTAAATTCTCGAGAAAATGTACTCGAAGAGACGTTCGGAGCTCGAGGAGTTTCTCGAAGTCGTTTTTCATAGAAAGGTACCTTCTCAAAACTCCTCCTCCATATGTTTCGCTGAAAATGATCGGCAAAGTACTTGAAAAAGGGGTGGTATCTTAGGTATCTTACAAGTATACCGTAAATGATCTACTAATGGTCCAAATCACTCTTCAAATATCAACCTCAACTTCAGAATACTCATTCAGGGTCATTGTGTTGTCATCCTTAGTCGTCTGTCCTTACTTTGACCTTTTTATTTTGAACAAGTTCCAATGCGAAACCCTTGTTAATCAAGCAAGGAGCTGACTAAATTGAATGATTTTGCTCCTTTTTGCTATTTCCTGAAATTTTTGAGTAATTTTCATGGGGGCGTCTATTAGACAGGGGCTTTTATTAGAGAGGGACTTCTAATACAAACTTTAAAGCGCAAGGGAGGCGTTTATTAGATAAGACGTGTTTATTTGAGAGAGGGCGCTTATTAGATCATTACGGTATGCGGCCTGGGAAAGCTGGTTTTAATCTCTAGCTTAACTAACTTTTTCTTAGGATCCTCAGTTATTTGATAACGACTTGACAGAGTGGACTGAAGAACTGAAGGCAACAGCTAGGAAGGTAACAGAGCAAGGGTGTTTAGTTCAAGAAGAATTTAGGAATTTAAAGTGTTGGGACTGCGGGAGGTGCAGCTATTTTTCTTTCAGGCGTGAAATTCAGCACTCACTAACGATCACTCATTCGACTAACATGGGATTTAATACGACATTATCTCGTCGTAACGTGTACCGTATTAAAAAGAACAATTTCGATAGAGTTTGCCTTAGTTATAGATTCACCGTGGTCAAAAGAGAGAACTTCCTGCAAACGCGAGGGAAAGTACTTAAAAGCTAAGGTTACTACTTTCACAGTTAGAAGCTTGGGTTATTTATTAGTATGCAGTGTTGATTTAATTAACTTTTTGTTAGTTTACTCAAAACGTTTTAATTGTTTAAAAACGGAAACTGATGTTGTGGTATACGTTTGCTACGTATGATGCGGAATAAAATCGCAGAATATAAAACAAGATAACCGCTTGCATTGGATGTTTGAACTCGATGGAATTTATAGAGGCTCAAATTCCTCATCAGTGGTTTATTGTTCTCTTTTTTCAAGTTGTTTAGACTAATGGATGTGGACCGAGACAAGCATTTTTCTGTTTCTGATCTTCAAGCACTTGAGGAAGAGGATAACAGGGTAAGTGGTCAAGCTCTCAAGAAAAATACATCATTTTGGAACAGGTTCCTATTATTGCAGCGGTTGTTTAGTACTCGCGTTTCCCCTCACATCGTATTTGCCAACTGGTTCGGTACTGCCCCGTTCTGGGGGCCTTTTCTCTCTGATCTACCGACCAATCAGTTCAAAACAAACTCAGCGATCCTGAACGGGTATAAAAAAAAAAAATTGAGAGCCTCAGTTTCACAATTAAGGTATGAGTTGATCGGTTGTTAGATCGATGAACCTACCTCACTCGATTGCTAGATAGATAAATCAATCGGTTGAAAAGAACAATAATTGTTCAGCTTATTTGCGCACTTCGATGGCCAGGATTGAAACGAATTGCAAAAACGAAAGAAAAAACTTCTATGTTGTCGAAAAAAAATATTAAAATATTCAGCTGAGCTAATTAACCAAAAAATGTGGAACTCGCCTTGACATAACCCCTTAGAAGGAAAAAAAATTCTTTTAGGGAGAAAGTCGAGTAAATGAAACAGATTTGTACCCAGCAACCTGGTTTCCATCCGGCCGGTATACAGAGTATATTAAAAATAGCGTATTTTGTTCATCAAGAATGAAACTGGGGCTCCGATGAGTTCGTTGGCGTCATCCGTGACCCCACAGATTTAAAATGATGAAATGACATTTCGCAATGTTTTCTTTTATTTTTCTGCAGGGGAAGATTAAGGAAATTATGAATGATTTCTATCGGATGGCTGACTTGATTGACAAGGAACGGGAAACAAATAACGTGGAAACTGAGAATGGAGTTAGCACGGAGAAAGATAATGATGACAGCTTGGGAGATGGCGATTATTATATTGAACCAGTTTCCAGGAAGACCACAGGCAAAACCTCTAAAGACGAACTCTAAGAGTCCAGTACATTTTATGCTTTTTAAATTAAAATGTTAAGATGAACAATTAACCCTGTGTGCGTTTTCACATCACTCGATTCTCGCCTTGCGAACATCTCGCTATGAATTGAAAGCGAAATCCCCAGCAAAGATTTTAGCCCGGGGGGGGAACTCCCATATGAAAAAGACGGGGATGCTCGTCGTCTCGCTTAGGGGTGTAAATTTTGGATTTTCGTCTCGCTTAGGGTGTTCCGGGCAAAGCGCCAATATTTTAAGCGGCCAAGGTCTCGTTTAGGGTTCCGCGAAGAAACACAGAATTAGGCGAAGAGAAACAGAAGTCAAATTTTCTTTTTAACTTTGTTTGTTATGTCTTTATATCATTAAAACTCATTGCATGTCGTATTTGTGTGTTTTTAAGCGGTCTCTTTAAGGGGTCAAAATTTCCTTAAGCCACGCCCAGATTGGTCTCCTTTAGGGGTTTAAGTCAAAATTTCCGACGAGCATCCCTGTCTGTTTCATATGGGAGTCCCCCCCCCCCGGGGATTTTAGACTCTTGATTGAATTAAGGACTCCGACCATATATTACGGACTTATAATTGGGCCCAGCTAAAATAATGCGTTTTCCTTCTCATCAAAAACGCATCGATCGAGTCGCGTCTACGTTACCTTTTTGATGTGCTTTCGACTGTCTCCACTAAAACGTTCCAAAATGTTAGAATTGCACGTTGTGACGTAAGTTGAAGTCTTTGCGCAAGGCTACAAACACACGCCTGCGATATTTCATTTTGATCCGCTTTCGACCCTTTTCGACCGTCGGCCAGTAATACGATATGTATGCGTTTTCGTTTTGATTCACTTCAAAAGCGCCTTCAAATCGATGCGTTTTCAAAGGAAACTCTTAGCGTATTAGTGTGGACGGAAAGCCTAAACGCAACGAAATGTATGCGCGGACACCTTTTTTGGTCCAGACATTGCAATATTATTGTTCTACAAGAACAACAATATTGTAATTTCAGGACTCGCGGAGCAGTGTTCAAAGTGTGGGGGCCTACCCACCATCTTTTGAAGTGTAGTTGGGGGGGGGGGGCGCTTGTACATGTAGGATTATGGACTTCAAGGAGCCCATCAAATGGAGCCTTCATCTCCCATACAAGCTTTTGGAGTCAACCCCTTCCCGAGTAGATTTATAATTAGAACGGTTCCCACGGGAGACTTGATTTGATGGGCTCCTGTGGACTTTTAAAATGGTTTACCTGGTGCCGACTCAAAATTTTTTAATACAGTTACATAACTCATCAATCACTTCTTTTTAACTGGTCAAACAAACGAGAAAGGAGCTAGTAACAAAAGAAGTGTAACCCGCAGCAGCATCATAATTTTCGCGTGTTTCATTTACTCGAAAAGTTTGTCCGTTCTCTCCTTGCGGCTGTTGGAACCCCCTTTAGTCATTGTTGAATAGAGCCACGTTTTTAACCTTCGAGCTGCCGAAAAGGACCTTTTCCTGCTGTGATGATTGCAGGATTTACCGGCAGAAGCTTGCAGATAGGGACAACTTCATTTATCATGGCTCTGCTCGGTCTGCTGAGGTAATTCCTGAAACTTCTCCTTGTTGTCTATAATGTCATCGAGTTCAATTTGTTTTAAGAAATCGTAGCTCCGCGGAGATTTAAGAACCTTGATAAAAAAAACACCATTGTTTGCGCATATACTAAATCACCTGGCTGGTGAAAACGCAGAAGTCTACGACTAAGTGAAGTTTTGTAAAAATAGTCGTTTTGAGGCTTACGGCATTTGATATAGATCATATAGGACCGAAATGGACCAATCATAAATTTGGATGCTTCGGCGAGGTCCGCCAGTCGAATATTCTTATTCCATCAAATATTCCTTTTCATTTGAAAATGCGTATTTCTTAATTTTATTTTATTTTTTTTTTCAAAAAGTGGGTTGGGGGGACCCTGGCCCCCAGCCCGTCCACCTGCGCGGGCCCTGAATTTACTAAAACAATAATACTGTTATCATCCTCGGAGACCCAGGGGCAGTCAGTCGGGTCTCAGAGGATGATACTGTTATGTACTCTTGTTATGAAGGGAAATAGGTAAGAATTATCAAGAGCCATTATGGGAATTATTTCCTTTCTTTTTGGCTCAAAACTTATTACACTATTGAAGCTTTAACTTCTATCTTGAATGTAATGAATGTAAACAATGGTTGCTAACCATTTACACGGTGGGCAAACCGGTCGGTCCACGGTTTTGGCAAATGGTACCCAAAATTCACTTGATGATATCCAAATCCACTGTAAGGTTCTGGTTTTTAAGCCTCTGCAGTTCCAAGAGAGATAGGCCATTTGCACTAAGAGGTCACGTTACATCATTTTTATGAACATAACAGTTTTATGATTTTGCCTTCGAAAAGCGATTAGTGGGTCATATCTTATACAAAATAACAGTAATTTAGTTTTTCAAACCCGCACCATTTTCTTAAAATGAGTAAGTTTGTAGCTGGTCACGTGACCAAAGTGTGATTTCTAAAACTATGAATTGCCTTTCTGAATAGAAATTTTGCACTTAAACTTCAAGGAAATTGTTGAAAAGATGATGTGGTAACGTTTTCAGCACATCTGAGCGTAACCATCAAACGTTTAACAAGTTATAAGCAAAAAGTAGTTTTGGCTAGACTGCAAAACAGGCCGTATTTTTGCGTATTCAAGTACGCGCGAGCAGTCAAACAAAAGGTCTGGAATGAGGCAGACTCTTACGCCTCGCTTTACCGATTTCTTTACTGATTTTGAGAAAAAACCCGACTGTTTTGCAGTGTAAGTTTTGGCCGCCATGTTGGAGGGCAAGAGTATGCCCTCCAACATGGCGGCCAGTAGAAATCATACTTTGTTGAAAAACCAAAGTGCCATAAAATATTTCCCTTAAATGCGTTTCTTCTCAAATCTCGGGTGTAAGATAATTTTTATATGCTTTGACTATTTTTGGTATCAGCAAGATTCCAAGTCATTGTTTAAAGAAAGCATTGGTCACGTGACCTCTCAGTGTAAGTGGCAAGTGGCCAAGGCGTTTCGACTTCTTAGGACGGGCGCAGGGATCTCCGCTTTCAGAAACCAGTAGCCTGAGTATCAGGCCTTCCTAAGGCAGGGATGTCATGAGTGCGGATAACTGGCCTTCGTCGTAGACCAGTCATCCTTGTTCAATAGCCATGATGAAGATAAAAGGAGGTGCTGGGTAAAGGAGGATGGCTTAAAAAATCGAGGAGAAAAAACGAATTGCTCTCGCTTACGAGGAATCACAGGAATGATTCACTCCTAAAAAAAATCGCCTGATCGCAGGTTAATTCACTCGATACAAAACACCCAGCTAATAGAGGTTATCTGAATAAGCCCGTTGACAGACGAATTGACAAACAATTGCATCAGGCGTTTTTTTTTCCCCGCCCAAAAAAAAAAAATAATAATCGCCTGTTCGCAGGTTAATTCACTCGATACAAAATGCCCAGCTAATAGAGGTTATCCGAATAAGCTATCTGTTATGGACAGAGGTTATTTGTCTGACAAATAGAATTCCAATTAATTATTCTTATTAATTAAACCTTTCAACTGTCCATTAAAACACACCTGTTTCAAACGTTGTGCTGGCTCAACTTAACACGACTGTAGCACGACTTGGTTTCAGACGTCGAATTTAACTCAGTCGAATGTAATAGGTGTTGCGGAAAACAAACCTAATAAATAAAAAGCGGTTTAGTCAACTTTTAAAATTTATTCTAATGTATTTATAATTTATGAACTGAGTTCGGCATGCATGGCAGTAGCGCGACGTTTGAAACCAAGCCGAGCTACTGCCGTGTAGCACGGCAAAGCTTGCCGTGCTCCACGGCAGTGGCACGATTTGGTTTCAAACGACGCGCTGTGGCTTTCCGGGCCTGTTATTTGTCAGGACTTTCAAGAAACGGAAGGGCTCCTGACTTAAAATTCTGTCCTGGTGTACGTGAGAAGGCGGTGAAGCCCTCTAGTTTCTGCTCCCTCCCCTGACCTCAATTGCCTTTTCCTTCTTCTCATTGGCTAAGAATGTGAACCGTCAACCAATGAGAAGTGCGCAAATCATGTCGAAAAACAACACGTGCTAACATTGCGGCAGCGCTGTTCTCGAAGAGAGCGAAGCGCTACCATCCTCAGGCCGAATTGTAAAGTATTTCGTGATTTTAGACCGTTATTCTTTGTTTTTACAACCTATTTGGATGCTAATTTGAAAGATCTCTTCGAGCACTTTAAGATGAAGTACATTCTGGTGACTGGTGGCGTTATTAGCGGCATTGGAAAGGGAGTGATTTCCAGCAGCATCGGAGCTTTACTAAAAGGAGTTGGGCTGCATGTTACGTCGATCAAAATCGACCCTTACTTAAATATAGATGCTGGAACTTTCTCTCCTTACGAGCACGGTAAGGTCAATAATTATTGTTTTCCCTTGGCCTTTTACGCTAATTGAACGCAAAAGGCCGTGTTATGAAATTTAGGATTGCGCGCGAAACATCCCGCCATTTTGCTCGAGTCCGTTACATTTTGAGAGCCGCTTTTTGAGTGGAAGAAAACGAGCACAAGTTTTTACATGCAGTACCATTCTATATGTTTTACTGATATTAAAAATTTGGAGCACAAGGCGTAATTATTACGCCACTTTCGGTTAGCGTGAAACCATGTAGATAATTCGTGCGGGACGTGACGCACATGGTGAGCTTAATAAAATATTACATAATTTTGCTACGTACCATCTTTGATTTCAGGCTGACTTAGCTAGCGAGACGAGCAAAACTAAAATTTGGAGTTGTAATGAGGAAAGTATGACCATAAAGGCAAAAAAAAAGATTCCCAGGAGTATGAATTATGAGATTCGCCCGTTCCCCCCCCCCCCCCCCCTCCCCGGCTCATACGTTTTCGTGAGAATGATGTATTTTGACCTTGGGACAATGGCATTTGGTTCCGTGGCACGCAAAAATGCTGTACATTTATCATTTGCGTGGAAAAAAAACTGTTTTTTTCTGGTGGGAATAAAAATTAATTGCCTCATTACAACAGAAAATTTTTGTTATAGATAGGTGGTTTTCATGCAATCTCGGGAGACACAAATAACAATGGTGAAATGAACAAATGCTGGTGGACAAAGAAAGCGAGCTAATGAGCGATCTTTTGTTGACGGTCCACCAGCATAGCGGCGATGACGTAACGTGAAAACCACCTATAGAAGTAATTCTCTGTGAGGTTTTGTTTCAGCTTTTCCAAAGTGACCACGGTTTTTTGTGCTTTTTTGGTGGATTACCAGTGCTACTGTAGGCTTGGTCATTAGAGATAATAAAAAATGGCTAACTCATTCAGTTTACTCTTTCCAAAAATTTCCATGCTAGTCAGCTGAATATCACTCTTGTAGGTGTTTTTTTTAATGTCACCTTTAAGAAAATAGATTTGCACTCCAGTTGTCTCACCAAGCTGACTGGGCCCTGAAGAACTGGCTGAGGGTGTGTTTTTTTTGGGAAAATCCAAATCTGGATCATGAATCCATAAAATCCACACTCAGGGTGGATGTTTCGGATCAAATCCAAATCCGGATTTTTGAATTCACGTTCCGAGCTTTTTTTGGGAAAGGTTTTAAAAAAAGTGTTTTTGACAAGCGGTTTTTCGAAAAAAAAGGAAAAAGAATCGCACGCAACAGATATGGTACATGTATGAATTCTAACTGAACCCATGTAGTGGGGCCTCATTAATTTTGAGCCATTATTTACATATCATTCCATGTTTGTCATCTATTTAAATTATTGATAGACTGTTTTTAAACCCTTACTTGTCATGTTTTTGTATGTATGTAGTGTCTGCTTACGCCGGTTTATTTTCCAAGTTATTTAAGGAAAAAACAATTCATCAGCTTCAGTTTTAAATTCTTATAATTTTACTATCCTAAGGAGTGTATTCTATTTGAAATATGTTTGTGTTTCAAACCAAAATATATACAATTCGTATATTCGTTCCTAGCTTATGTTGCTTTTTCTTCTTGTCTTCGCCGTGAGGATCAGTTTGTTGTTGTTTTTTTTTCCACGAGGGGTACGAGAACATGCTGTTGTCGTGGTAAATGAGCCTTTTTCGGATCTTCTTTTTTTTTGGTAGTGAAGAATCCGTATGATCAGAGATCACAAATCTGTTTTTGGATTCTCCAAAAAAATGCACCCTGAGATTCCTTTCCACTGGAGTAACACTTGTAGACAGATATCAGTTGGACTTGAAAGTAATTTCAAAAGAATGCATCAGTATTATAATACCAACATAAGATGAGTAATATTCCAAAAGATATAAGCCTGAATACTTGACAATATAAGCCATCAAAAAAAAAAAACTTTGTGAAACAAGAAGAAGCTATCAAAAAGACCAAACTTACATAGAATGCTAGAAACCTCATGCTTCAGGTATAAAGTGCCAACAGAATATTAATTTCTCTCTAATTTGTTTAACTTCTTATTTTCTCTTTTGCTCATTTGCTTGCCTTCTCCTTTTTCGTTCACCATTTTAACCGAGACCATAATGCACCTTGTTTACACCCCTAAATTTTTCATGACCTTTGTCTTCAATTTCTCTTGGGACGACTGTAGTACCAAGGAGAAATTGGATTCAATAGTTATGGAAAATTGTGGGGGGTAAACAACGTGCATTATTGCCTTTGTGAAAATGGTCACTTTGCTGAGTATTGATCTTATGAGGAGTGCCAAATTCACATGGGAAACAACATGTTCAAAAAATTGCGCAGTGCTGCTCCTCTTAGAGAGAGCAAAGCACTCTTGGTGCTGTTGAAAAATATTTCTTCATTTAAGAGTTTATTTCTTGTTTTTACAACCTGTGTGGATGCTGATTTGAAAGACCTTGTTGAATAATCAAAGATGAAGGGCATGTACATTTTTGTGATTGGTGGTGTTATTAGTAGCATGAGGGTGATTTCCAGCAGTATCAGAGCTTTACTAAAATGAGTTAGTTATTTTCCACTTTTAATGAACTGACTCACATAGTTTGTACCAATTTGTGCAGATTACCTTTTCTTCATTTAGGCTTCCACGTTAGAAGTAGTGAATCATTTGGCTCATTTTACTTAAAAAAATTCAATACTTGTGATTGAAGATTGCAATGAAAAACAGACCACACCAAAATAATACAGAAAAAAGGGGACCTCCTTGTACATTTTCTGCTACGCAATGTGACTTTTTAAGTTAATCTTGTGAATATGTATATTTTACTTGTTTTTTAAATGCCTTTTGTTGTTTTGTACTACTAAACTGTATGTTAACTGTTGAATTACCCTATTGGCCATATTTGCTGGAATTAGTTGGGGTTGTGGTTGTTGTTGATACATGTTTAATGATCTATTTTTTATTACAACTACCAGCACAAGGAAAAGATGTCGTACCCGTCATCAGTGCTAAAACTCTTTTAGCAACCATTGCACATCATTTTTTATTCTTTTCTCCCATATCTGGTGCAATCTCTGTTTGTTTCCCATCTTTTCATTACCATGATTATTGTTAGTATGCTGAAAATTGCTTAAAATCACATAATGTGCAATGTTTGGTACCAAATTGTGGTCATGTTTTTCTGTTTTGTGGCCATGCGTAGGTACATGTAGGAGTGTAATAATAACCATCATTCTTGACCAAATGTTGTAGGTGAAGTGTTTGTTTTGGATGATGGTGGAGAAGTAGACTTGGACCTGGGTAATTATGAGCGATTCCTTGATGTTACCCTTCACCGCGATAACAACATCACAACTGGCAAAATATACCAGAGTGTGATTGATAAGGAGAGACGTGGGGACTACTTGGGTAAAACTGTCCAAGGTAATTATTCTTTCTTTTCTTTTCCTTTTTTCCCTAACATCCTTGTGATTTATAAAAGGATGAGAATTCAAGCAACCTTTTGAAGCCAACAATAGTCCAGTTTGCGAATTATACATTACTGCTGAATACAAACATTAACGACACATTCATACAGGGTTAGCCTCGATGTAAAGTAAAAAATGCAGAAATTCCGGCAAGTACAGTGTAAGTGTTTGAAATTTGAACGTACACAATAGACAGAGTAATAAATAGGTCTTTTTCTCGTTGGAATTTGTGAATATATTACTTCAGGGGGAGACTAAGCCTGTAAGAATGCATCTTCACTTCTTTAGTTCAGCGGTCATAGCGAACTCTAAACTGGACTATTGTTATTATTATTTTTCTTGTTAATGAGTTAAAATTCTCATGTATGAGTAGATGTTTATGTTCTTGTTTAATTTTATCCTTGGTTTAGACTTTATTTTTGCATTGTTTGTGGGTATGGTCATGTATGGTAATAAGTTTGGAATAAAGATTAAGAAGAATAAAACTTGAAACAACAAAATCAAACCATTACATACACAATCTACTGTATTACATTTTCCTAAATCTATAGGTAAAAAGCCTACCAGTCTGTAGACAAAAATAATTAAAATAGTTCTTTGCCCATGCTATTTTGTTGCACTTATATTTCTTTTGTGTTCTCTTTGTCATCCCCTTCCCTTTGTCTATTCCCCCATGCCCTCATAATTCCATAATCCCTAACTTCCCACCCATTCAGATTTTCCGTTTTTTTGTAAAACCGCCTGGAGTTACTGGCAGGGTTCACAGATAATATTATGCCCAATTTGGCTTATTTTATGCCAAAATATTTCAAATGACTTTACTACTGTTCAACAGATGCAAGCTAATTTAACTTAACATTGCCCCAAACTCGTACAGAACATCAAAATAAGAATATCTTTGATGAACATGTGTACACTTGGGAGATTAATACAATCAATAAATTGTATTTTCATTTTTACCATCTTGAATTTTAGACTTCGGGGTCAGCAGTCGCTCCTAATCACGTGAACTTCAAAAATTAAAATGGCGTTCTCGGTCAAAAGTCCATGTTTTGCATCAAATGGGCAAAATAATTTAGGAGGAAAATGATGTTTTGTAGCATTAAGGCTTCTGGAGCTCGATAGCAACCCAGATTTTGTTGGTTTTCTTCTACAAATGAACCCAAAGACATCACTGATTGATAGATGCTTGTCTTGTATCCTGCTTCTGAGGTCGTCAACAGTGTAATCAGTTCAAGCTTTATACGCGTTTCAAGGAATACACTCTTGCCTGTCCCCTGTGGAAATTCTGGATCTAAAGACCCCATGCCCTCAGATTTCCAGTTCAAAGATTGCCCCCTTGCCCTTGGAATTCTGAAAAGCCATACTTGGTATGGTAAGGATATTTTCTGGAATTGCCCAATTTAATTCAAAGTCCAAGTAAGGACTGGAGACAGAAATAATCAATGACGTAAAATTTTCAGACCTTCCAAGCTATATGTTAAATGTTTGGAAGTGCAAGGGTATGAACCCATTACAGGCAAGTGCTGTTTTGTTTTTTGTAGTGGTTCCTCACATAACAGATGCCATTCAAGACTGGGTGACAAGAGTTTCAGGTGAGCCAGTTGAAAAGGACACCAATGCTGATGTGTGTATTATTGAGGTGAGTGAACAGGGAAAAAGCATTGTTTTATTACATCTTTGACATTTTCATTCTCCAGCCACAGGGTGCAAAGAAAGTCATTTTTACAGCTTGCCAGCTGAAGCTAACATTTACTAGCCCAGACGTCATTTCAACTAGCCCCAAAAACGTTTTGATGAGCAGAATGGATTTCACACTAACGGTTCTTCTGTAATTTCGGGCAAGTCAAGAACAGAATTCATTGGCCCAAAAGTAAAATCCACTAGCCCCGAGCTATCGAACACTACTTTCTTTGCACCCTGAGCCAGAATGAAGAGCATTCCAACTTTCATTTAAGGGTGATCTAGGCTCATTGTAAATATCGCAGGGATTAGATGATGCTGAAATCATGTATTTTAATGGAAATAGCGACAGTTGAACCTCTGCTAACAGCTGCCTCTCGACTGTTACATGTACGGCTCCCTTTTTTGGTGGGCAGTCTATACATTCACTCTTGTTTAAACCTCTTTAGAATGGCCACCCCTCCTCAGCAGCCACTTTCTTCTGACCCTAAGGGGGCCATTGTGGAGAATTTTAACTGTATTAGAATAATTATTTTATACTAGTCATCTTGCGGAGCACTTTTACTTTTGTTGTCTCACAGTATGGTAATCTGCCTGTATAATGATCCATTACTTCAAATGTACACTGTACAAATTTAGCCTAATCAATTTGAAGTCATTAAAAACAACACTGTACAAATTTTAATGATATTCTGTTTGAATTTTCTCATAGTGGTAATTGTCCATAGAGTTACCAAATTTTAATGATATTCTGTTTGAACTTTGGAAAAGACAACTCAGCTTTGATACCTGAGGTATGGCCTGTTATATCACAAAATAATTTGAAAAATTGTTCAAGAGCTTATTGCTCATGGGAGTTGTAAATAAGTGTACCTGCAAATTCAATTTTGGCTAAACAGACTTTACTTGCCATAGTCCCTTATGTAAATATGAGTAATTCTTTTATCTTGATATGATGGAAATAATAAAGTAAACTGTGCAGTAGCAAAAAGAGAGCACCGTGGCCAAGAGAAATTTATGGAGTCAGTGGACAGCTCTTTTTTGTGTTGTTGAGGATGAGGTTGTATGTTACAAAAATGCTATAATCCATTTACTTCTGAGACTGAAAACAAGATTACACAATGAAGGTACTCATGTCACAGATTTAAAACAAGCCCTGCGTTTCTTGCCTTAAGAGGATTAACTTTATTTGTGCTGTGTGCATGTATCAATATGTAAATTTAGCTGAAGGTCTGGCAACATTTTTCAGCCTGACTCAACTGGAGAACAGAAAACAAAGCCAACACAGAACAGTGTTAGAGAAATGCGTGGTTTGGGATTAAGTCCAGATCTGGTGAGATATTTTTTTGCCTTTGATTTTTCTGTCATGTAGTTTGGGCAGGACTGCATGGGTTTTCAATAAGAGCAGGCTGCTGGCTAAAGTCACCTCAGGTTATTTCATGGGAACCCGCCACTTACGTTTCTTAGGAAATTACCCCAGTTTTTACAAATAACACGATTAAAACAGATTCTCAACCAACCAATGACTCATAGCTACTAGCAAGAAGAAATAAATTTTAAAAAAGAGAATTCATGGACTGTCACTGAATAAAAAAAGGCAAATTTTAATGAGGTCTGTGTTTTGTTAAAAAAAAAACTCTAATTTTTGCTCCAGAATGCTGGAAATGCATTTCTAAGACCCCTAGAAACTTGCACCCTTGACGCTAGTTTTTTCCATTTCTGCCTATTCCAATGCTTTTGCCACCTACTTAAAACCTTATGAGAAAGCCCTGGGGTTGTCACTAAGATTTCAATTTTGTGGGAATGTGCAATTAGCTAGTGAGAGAATAGGCCATTTCCTAGTGCCAAAAACTCTCAATTTCAAAATGAGGCTAGGCACAAAACCTTACCTGTGAAAATGAGTTTTATATGCTTGAGACTAAAAAATCTTATTTTTTATATCAATGGCTTTGCAGCCTCACTTTGAAATAGAGACTTGAGGCAACTCAGAAATGGCCTATTGAACAGCTAGAATTTTCTTTAGATTCTGTATTTTCTTTTGTTTTCCGTGAAAGTAGCCAAGGCCCATGCTCATTAAATCCCTGGAACCAGGGCTAACTCGCATAAACCTTTCTTAAGAACAGTAACCTGTTGTTTTGAAATAATACAACAACACACATGTAGTTACTTAATCTTAAGATGTTTTTTTCAACCCAACCAAGGCCCTATATTGACAGCCCTGTTGGATTTAAAACACCTGCCCTTAATTAGGGCCAGAGACTGATGTTAGTGCTTTACCTGCATGATGGTGACAGTAGTATGAATACTGCACAAGGGATACAATGTAACAGATTGCAGATGAAGCGTTTCCAGTTCATTCTGCTGCCATCAAGTATCAAGAAGTCTCTGACGCACAGTGATATTCAAGCTTAGCGTTTACTGCTTTGCAAAAGCAATGCTATCTACTGTACATAATTCCAAGGTGGCAGGAAAAGTTTAAAAACATGTTTTATGTCCAAAAAGTGGTAAACAAAATAAAATACTGTAAGCTTTAGAAGCCAAAGTCATACTAACTACTCTTAGTTTACCTAAAGTTAAAACCACTCTGTTAAGTTCATAAAATGGGTTCTGAAGGGGAAAGAAGTCATTCTATATGAAGGAAAATTGTGCATTTACATGTATGCCATCAACACACTCCACCTACCAGCATTTTAGTTACCAAGAAGTTTAATAGTGCAATCCTCTTCATAGTTTTGAAACAACGACAGCAGCCCAATGGTTTAGTTGACAAAATACAGTGATTCCTATGAAAGTTTTCACACAAATCTCGACCTCAATTCATTGTGTGGTCATGATCACCTGAGTGAGTGGCCTTCAGGAAAGGTTGTCAGTATGTCGGATCTGATCACTATTAAATCAAAATTGCAGATTATGTGTAGATGCAAGCATCCTGTTACAACTTCTGTCAAGGAAAAGGTGTCTTTGTTTTGCCATGTTCCCCCAGAGCAGGTAAGAAATTAATGTTGAGAGAGCAGGAATGGTGGAGTGGACTGGTGGTTGGACCAGTGTGCTGCTGCATATCATTCATCTATTTAAATAAGCGTTGCTGGTTTGGCTGTCAGTCTTGTGAGTTGAGTTTAATTTGTCTCGGACCTTCTCTGAGGGTTTTCTCCAGCTTCTGCAGTGTTCCTCCCTCCATAAGCACCAACATTTAATATTATTAATTCAATTAATTTTGATTACCATATTAACTAGAAAGAGCCTGGTGGCATAGCCTGAATTTCATCCGATTACTTCGAGTCGCTATTACTCCCTCAGTAACGTCTGAATCGACCGGCCGTTAATGCCGTCCAGTGACGTCACTACTCCTTGACCTTTGCTTTAATTCATGCAAAAATTTTTCATTAAACCATAAATTAAATGTCTGCAGAAAGAACTGCCTTTTTCGATCGTAATTCATGTTTAACGTTCAAACTATCAACTTTAAAACTCTGAACCGGTTGTATTTCTAAATCAAACTCGGTCGCAATCACGCAATCAAATAAACACACACACGCAACACTTAGTTAAAAAAACACAACGATTTTTTAATTGAAAAGAAGCTATTTGGTCCTTAACAGTGGAAAAAACAAGGAAACAAAAAAGAAAAGCAACAGAATCATTACACTTGACGGTGGCAGCAGGTCGAATTATAACATTGACCTCAGAAAACTTCGCGTAAACAAAATCACCGGCCGCCGAAACAGTCTCCGCAATGATTCTTCATTCGCAGTTCAATTTAGCATTTCAGTTTCGAAGGCAAAGGCAAAATATCAAAAAATTTTTCATAATTATACATAATTATGCGAATGTTTAGACAATCAACCAATCAAAATCACTACCCGGTTTTCGGGTATGTTAACGGCCGGTCGATTCAGACGTTGTTGAGAGGAGAAAACGACTCGTCGGATGAATTTCAGCCGATTTAGAGTAACCAATGAATTTTCCACTTACCAGTTTGGGGAGTGCAATCAGTTTTTTTTGAATTTAAGTGTGCTGGACTGAAAGCATTAGCAGGTCTTAAGACTCTCATAGAATCAGAGGTTTTTAAAATTCTGGTGAGATAACATAGTAACCTTTCATGAAAAGATTTTTTTCATGCCTGTTGTCCTCGTGTCCATTTTTTACATCAGCTTATTCAGGAGGAAGTCATGTCATGGCTGCTATTTTTCCGTTTCATTTTTGCTTTTTTGAGTAATATTGCAGTTTCAATCAACCATCCTTTTGTCAGTTTTCACGGTTTCATTTGTTTCATGCCACTGTCTCAAGCCCATGTCGGCCTGGGCCCTAGACATTTTCCATCTTCAAAGTCGATGACAACCTTGCAAGTCTGAGTTGTATTTGGCATGTGTGTTGCAGGTAATTGATGTCCATGATTGCAAGTCTATATACAGAGTACCATTGTTGTTGGCAAACCAGAACATTGTACCACTTTTTGCCAAGAGACTCCAGATGGAAATCAAGTCACCACGAAAACCAAGGCATTTCATGGTGCAGTGGAAAGAGCTGGCAGAGAGGTGTGCTTCAAGACTACAAATCTTTGATAGCTCTTCACTGTGATGTCAAATTCTGTTGTCATTATCCACAGGAATTAAGCATAGTGTTGAAAAAAAAAAGAGAAGAAACAATTATTTATTGGTACCTAGGAGAAAATGAAAGGTTAAACATTCAGTTCACAGGGCTCCAAAAAGTCCTGTTTAGGGCATTACACTGAATCGTAGCCAACAGTTACCAGCACCGTACAAACCACTTATTGACAAGATCAAGCATAACTAACTACGAGAGAACGACTGGAGAACTGACAATTTGACTAACAATAGACAACTGTTTAACTGTGACAATAGACGGATCGAAATGCACCAATTACTGATTACGAGTCTTCATAGCCAATAACATCACGGCTTAACTGACAGACGACTAATAACACCGCAACATAATTGACCAATCAAATCAATAACCAGAGCATAATACCATCAACTGACATGATACAACTCACTTTGACTCTGAAGATGACTACCACACAGGTTGTCGAAATGTCAGTCACTGTCAACAACAACAGTCCTATTCAGGACTACGTTCACCCGGACGATCAAACTCAACCTACTTTTGAAATGACTCCTGCGTTCAAACCTTTCACTATATTTTCCTTACTGGGCATTTATTTTATTAAGCTTACTTTGCCCTATGGACAGCAGTCCAGCCAAGTCATCGTATAGCTAAAATAATATTGTTATTACTTGTAATAACCAAAGGTTACGGAGTGTGGGCGACAACAGTCGTAACCTGCGTAACACTTTTTCTCCATTGCTGTGCTTTGTATAAGTTTCACGTGACAGATAGTCAAAACATGCGTGATCAGATTACCAGTGATTGAAGGTCCAACCACGCATGATCAAATTGCATCCTGTGCATTCCATTCATTCTTAGTGGAAGTCCAAATAAATGCTGGCTACATAAATGCGAGGCGTGCGTAATAACAACCTGGGCCCAGTTGCTTGAAGCATGGTTAGCGTTAACCAGCGTTTAATACCTTGACAACGTATTGGTTTTGATACTGCTTAACCAATGGTTAAAGCTAACCATGCTTTGAGCAACTCAGCCCTGGAGATTAGGATCGTGAGCTCCACTTGTCACCAGCAATTAACTAAGATGAGGAAGCAATGGCCCCAGGCAAGCAAAATGTGGGACCTTCTTATAAACTGGATTTCAAGTTTCTTTAAGCCCTGTGTGAAACGTTTTTTGACCTATAAGCCTTTCTGAATGTTCTTTGTTGTTGTTGTTGTTCTTATTTGTTTGTGTGGTTGTTTGTTATTTTTTAGGGAAGAGCGTCTTCTAGATGAAGTGAAGATTGCTCTTGTTGGCAAGTACACCAAGCTGGAGGATGCTTACATATCTGTTCTTAAAGCTTTAAAGCATGCATCCCTTCACTGCAATAAACGGCTGAATGTTGTGGTAAGGTTCCTTTGAAAAAAGACACTCTAATACAATTTTGTTCAGAAAGATGCTTATCGGTACAAAGTATGCTTAGATAACTGCCTAGTAACATGTACATGTAATGATACAACTTTAACACTGTCTTAAATGTTTGTTGCAGCAAATTCTAACATCCCTCAACATATGGGAGAGTATTATTTTTTTATTTGTAACTTGCAGTGGGTAGAGGCTGAAAATCTTGAGAAGGACGTACAAGAAAGAGATCCCATAAAGTATCATGAAGCATGGCAAAAGTTGTGTAGCTGCGAGTAAGAACTAGTTTACTTAAAACTAGGCTCTGTTCTCCTTGTAAATCTAGAGCGGTACATGTACAAAAAGTGGCTCTTTAGAGCTGTCATTAATGGCTGTAACCTGTAACACCTGTTATGTCAAAGCTCACTTGATGTAACCTGAGATCAGGCCCAATTTGAGTGGTTCTCATACATTCTCTCTAACGGCTACCACTAAAATTGGGCCTGATCCAAACTCATTGGCATTTGTGCTCTGGCCGTAACGCTGATTGGCTCTTAGAACAATGCTACAAGATCTGATTGGCTGTTGGAAACACCAGAAGTTGAAAGCGCTTATTCCTTGTGTGGTTGTTTTCGTGAATGATCCATCGTCGGCGGAGGGAAGGATCGATTTTGCTGTCTTTTTTATTGTTTTATGGTCTTATGGTGGGAAAATATGCCTTAATATGTGCCATGGAAATTCAGAAAATTCATATGGTTGTTCATATCTTCTCAGGATTTGCTTTATTTACGGAAAGTGAGTGTATCGCGGAGTTGAATCCCTCTGCAAGTTGTTGACCACTAACAAGGTGCCTTTTGATTTACCAACAAACGGGTGCAAATCAAAATACTGTCCATCTTAAAACTGGTTTCATTTGAAAGTTTAGCCGGGAATGACTTCTCTGAACGGGGTATGCAAGCGGAGGCTCATTGCGAAAGAAACCTCAATTGCCAACTGTGAGGTATTAATATTGCATCGCTGTTCAAGGAATTTTCAGTGTTAACAGACTGGTCGTTTGCCTTCGCTTTTTGTAAAAAATAAACCAGGAAAACTGTTGTCCTCACTCGTTGGCTGTTTGCTTTTGTTTTTAAAGACTTATGTACTGAAGTCGGGAGAAATTGCCAAGGAAAATATTAAGGCAACGGAAAAATAGAAATTTCAGTATTTTAAATATGAGCGCGCCTAGCCAAAGTAATAAAACTAGTAGAACATCGTGTCGCCGTCTTTTCGAAAATTTTTTACCTTCTACACCAACAGAAATAACCTTCGAGATCTCCCTTAATCTCGCAAGAAGTTAAATGTGATTGTCCTGATTGTTTTACTTTTAGCTGAAAAAATTAACAGATAAAAGCTATTTTTTAAGTCAGCCTGTCTGCATTTTTCCCACGCGTGAAAAATTTGCATACTAGAAAAACAAGCAACGGAAGTAATTTTGGTTGGCTGATTCGGCAAATGTCAATCAGTCAAAAAAGTGGGCGGCAGACGTTTCGTAGAAGGTTTGTATCAGGCTCTCTTTTCGTTTCGCCATGCCCGCCAGACAGAATGTTACTTACAAAGCAAAACGAAAATAGAGCCCGATCTTGATGTTACGGGTGATCAAAGTGGAAAGCAAAAGGTGACCCTTAATTTTTGTGTTACAGGTGAATCTTCATTGCTACGACTGCTTAAAAACTTAATGACAGCCCTGACTTTCTGTAGAATGCACTATCAAACCATTTTGGTTAACTTAAATTCTTTGTTTGTAATTATTGCAGTGGCATTTTAGTACCAGGAGGATTTGGAAAAAGGGGAGCAGAAGGAAAAATGGCCGCTGCTGGATGGGGAAGAAAGATGAAAAAACCCTATTTAGGTAGACCTTTCCCTTTGGAATAGTATATTATTATTATTTGTATTGTAAGGCAACATAACATACTTTAATACAAAATTTTCTCAACTACAGTAGAAATTGATCTTTTAAACCAGGTTCAGATGCTGTACTTCACATTAGATGAATCAAATAGTACTGCGTCTGAAGCAGTTCAAAATGGCCTATTAAATGTGTATTGGATTGGCTTAGCCATTCTATAAGCCTGGCTAAGCCAGGAATAATGGCTGTGGACCTGTCTTCATTCAGATGCAGAACTTCACATGAGTGAAACAAAATGAATAAATTTTTATGATTTAGTCTACAGCAATGCACGTGTTTTCCGTTAGATTTAGTTCTGGTAGAATAACGTTTGTTTTAAATAAGCAATATTTATTACAACATTTTCTCTAAGAACCTAAAAGGCTCGTCTAGAGAGCTTATGCTTTTTACATTGAATATTTCAAAAATACAAAGACACGTCACAATCAAACACACTCTCAAAAGGGGAAAGATTAAAAAGAAAAACAAATATAAAAAGTACAAACACACACAGCAATTAACAGAAACGATTTGATAGTGAAATAAACGACTAGACAAGCTGAAACAACCTAACGTTAATTTGAAAATCAGCAGTAGAAATACCAGTTAAAAGCCAATCGATTTTTTCCTTTCTGAGGCACAATGCCATCTATTTCCAAGTAATTGTGCAGTAAAGTTTGGTGTCTGAATCTGTTTAGTCGAAATTAATTTAAGTCAGCCTAAATTCTAATCTGATTTGGCTCGTGAAGTATGGCTTCTGAACGGAGCCTTATTAAAGGATTTAACTCTTTACACTTTAAGATCCAAATTTGAATTCTCATTTGTTGTCCCCATTCATTTCCTACAAGCAAAAGCAAATTCATCTTGTGTGATCATGAGCATAGTTCTCACGACCACTCTGCTTTACAAAGCATTGATATGACAAGGAGAAATTTGATGCTGATCACTCTTAGGGCTTAATGGGTTAAAAAATTCCCAAGGAACAAATAAGTTGGTTTTGATCTATTTTATTGAGGATTTAAATATTGTCAGAAGGAAGTTTCATTATTCTGTTTTAAAGGTAAATGTCAGCCGTGAAGCAGTGTGCAAAGAAAGACACTTTACAGCTTGCCATTCGGGCCTGCTGTAGCTAGCATGTACTAGCCCTAAAGTCATTTCAATTAGCACAAAAAATAGAAAAAATGGATGAGCAGGATTGATTTCTGTTCTTCTGTTATGTGAACTTGACTTGGCCATTAGGCAAGTTTATGAATAACAGTATTTTCCAGCCCGAGAGCCAAATCCACTAGGCCCTAGGCTATTTGCCTGCGTGCAGACGTCTCCTATTTCCTTTGTTGCACGCGGAAAAGGGACGTCTGCGTAACGCCGTCGCTAATCGTGTTCCAGCGTCCCGCTGGCAGGGTATTCTATTTCGCATAAATTGTGAAATAATATCCGGTTAGAAATAAGAGTTAACAGGCCAAACAAAGCATCATAAGCTCGTGATACGGTCGAAAAGGAAGTCTTTGAACAGAGGTTTTTTCTTTTTTCGCGCGAAAAACTAATGTGCATGTAGTATTCTAAGCTTTGACTGAAACGGTTTTTTTGCCGCGCTAAGTCTTCCATTTAGAAAATGAAGCAGGTTTGTTACATGCATACTGAGTAATCATTTCCTGTGGTTTGTGCTTCTGTGGGTGTTCCCGATTGGATTGGATTTCAGATGCAGTTGTAAAGTGTTTAAATTTTCTTGACCTCTGTTTGTTACGGCTAAATAAAGATTTTAGTTTCTTTGGCTGGCTTTCTCCGAAAAGCCTGCCTGGTGCGAAGTCCACGCCGCTTTTGTAGTTTTCTCAGACACTGTTTAAAATATGATGTGATGTGTCATGATAAATTGCAAAGATTTCCTCTCGCACACGTTAAATTTTCCGCGTCCCCGCACAAGATTTCGATCGTTCTGTTTTTCGATCGACGAAAAACACAGCACACAATCGCACATGTTTTGATTTGTTTTGGTTAGAAAACCCAATCATTTAAATCACCGCATACATTATCAGATCACATTCGATAACAACCAATCAGCGTTAAGTCAAACAGTGCGCACTGTGTGTCAGCCTATCACAGCGTGTTCCCAAGATCTTGGGAACCCAGCAGGACGCTGGAACACGATTAGCGACGGCGTTACGCAGACGTCCCTTTTCCGCGTGCAACAAAGGAAATAGGAGACGTCTGCACGCAGGCAATAGGCTATCAGACACCACTTTCTTTGCACACTGCCTAAAAGAGGTTATGAGCTGAGGTATCAGATTCAAACTTGCCCGTATTTGCCAATTAATGCTGAATGTTAAACATCATATTATATACTTTGTTTTTCAGGAATTTGTTATGGTATGCAGTTAGCTGTAATTGAATTCTCTCGAAATGTTTTAGGATGGAAAGGTAATAACTTCTCTCATTGTTTCGTCAGTTATGCACATATCAATACTTGTATTTCAAGAAAATACTTGTTGTATTTAATGTGCATTTTAAATAAGTCTAGTGCCCATGACCTTTTGCTACTAATGTTATCTACTATTATGTACGCTCATTAACCACTCAGCAATAGATCATTCCAATAACAAGTTTACTAACTAAGATTTGACTGCTGCAAGTTAGAAGAACTCATGATAATCATTAGGCAGAATAAGAATCACTTTTATGGAAAACGTCATATCCCACTCTACAGTTTTTGAAATTACAAAATAAAGCAGACAACAATCTCATTGCTGGCATTGTGCTAAAAGCTATGTGCATCTTACATTTTATGTTTCCAGGGGCAAATACAACTGAAAATGAGCCTGATACTACTTACCCTGTGGTAAGCCTGTTATGATAATTTTAATAATTATTTTGATACCCAAGAGTAAACAGCATCAGGAGAGCACATCACTGTGTGAGGCAGTGTGGTGGTTAGCATGTCAGTCTACTCTGTACATCCACACTCAAAAGTGGTCTTCTTGTAGATTGTTTCCTTAGACAAGAAACGTTTCTCCACGTTGTCTCTCTTTCGCAAAGGTGTATAAAAGGGCACCGGCCATATACTGCTGGGTTAACCCTGTGTTGGTTTAGCATCCCATTCTGGGAATGAAAGATATTAGTAATTTGAGGAATAACTGCAGATTAATAACATGGTTTGCACGGGCCTTAAATAGTCCTTGAAAAAGCATAATGTCCTCGAATTTTCCACCATAGTCCTTGAATATTTTTGAAAGCTCCTTAATAGAAATAACCTTCGTTGAAAATAAAATGTTTTGCGCAAAGAAATGATTGAAAGCACAGCACTACACATTTTCTTGGTGATCATGAAAGTGTTTTCTTATCATTTCGGTGTTTCCGGCATAGTTCATTTTCCGTTATTTGAAGTACCCTAGGAACCGTGACTTAACGAAGGAAGGTAGCACCTGCGCATTTTAAACGTCTTTACTTCATGTTATTTGGGAAAAGAAGTCCTTGAAAAAATAATTTTAGTCCTTAATTTTTCCCAAAAAATTTTGTATGAACCATGTCATAGAACATAGTTGTTGAGACCAAGCATAAAAACATAGCCCACTTCAGTTGAGCTTAACCCTTTGAGGACCGCTTTGGTCGTTTTCGTTCCACATGCAACAATGAATATTTCCCTTCTTGGATCATCAGTATGAGCTATTAAGTTGGTAAGCAGCAACGTCAGCAAAGACAGGTGTTTCCAACAATACCTCGTTTTCGAAATTCTGCTGACAGAGTTACACACAAAAACCAAGTAACATTTTGGGGAAAAATCCGTTGCTAATTTCGCTATTTTTCTACTACTATTTGCAGATTAAATTTGTCTCTTTCCTAAAAGTTTAGCCAGCCACAACTCCATGCAAATTAAAGACGATAAAGTGGGCAGCAACACTGGATATAAAAAAGAAAGGCAAAGGGAAAAAAGAAAGATCGAGTGCGCGTAAAAACAAAAGAGCTGCTTCATTACATCCTATTAGTCGGAAAATATGTCCTTGTTGTTGCAAAACTAATTTTTTGTCATTCCCATACTGATTGGCCGAAAACCAGTCCAAAAAAGAGGAATTGGTGAACAATGCGGTTTTTTTCGCAACTCTCTGGCATTCTCCAAAGTGTTAACCCATTTGTCCCTGAATAGCAGGTAACACCCCTTCCTATCCATGTCCCCTCTACCGTTTGAGACGTCATCAGTTTTCACGGTCAAGGACAACTAATCTGAAACTGCATTTTGTAGAATGAACCTTATTTTGTTTTTAGGTCATTGAAATGCCTGAACACAACCCAGGCCAGCTGGGAGGAACAATGAGACTTGGAAGACGACGTACAGTGTTTTCAGAAACTCATGAAAGTAAAACAAGTAAGACTTAAAAAAACTCCCTAGTCCTATAAGACTAATGTTATGAAGAGTAGGTGGACTGCATGCTAGCACGTACAGCATGTTTAGAAGTCCGTTGGAACGAAGAAAATTCTTTTAAATGATCAAATTAATGAATTATTCATTTACTCATTGTTGTATTTATTATTGTTAATTTTTCAAAATTGGAGCCATGAAAAAAGGTATCAACAGATTACTTTAACGCTATTAATGACGGCAATAAAGAATGTCTCGAATTAGTTTCGTCTCCGCCCCTCTTCCGTCCTATACTTTTCAATTTCCTGAACCTGCAGATCCAAGACGTGTTGTTGGGGTCTATTTTTTTTAGCCTTTACCACCTAAAAAAGTCACTGCCATTTTGGAGAATTTCTGATAAAAGCGAAGGAAGTGTTAAAACTAAAATCGCAAAAGGCCATTCAATCCATCGTGGAAGACTGTGACAATTTGAGAGTGACCGTGACTTAAGCAAGCCCAAAACCTTGGTCAAGTAATACATTTTCATTAAGTAGGCTGCTATATATAAAGGTACACAAGAAAAATAATAATAAATTGTTATTTTTCCTGTTACAGGAAAGCTTTACAAGAACGCATCTTTTGTCGAAGAGAGACACAGACACAGATATGAGGTAAAAGACTTTGTAGGGTAAAATGTTTTTTTGTTACTCCTTCCTTGGTCTAGGATCCTGATCACCGTTTTTTTTCTTAGGCGCATCGTTGGTCAATGAATTTAAAAAACTTCGACTCGTTATTACAAGTCTATTGTTCTCAGAGTCTGAAATAGTTGCGCTTGTATATGAGTTTTGCAAGCATTTCGTCAACTTGACCTCAGGTTTTTCATTATCATGTTGCTGGCTTTTGGCAGGTTGTTACTTTTCTTCTTGTCCCATTAAAATTAACTGCAAAGTTTTTTCGGCCCACACCTTTTTTATATTGTTTGTAAAATAAATTAAATATTGTCTGACAAGTGCAGTTGTACTCCCTTATTTTCCTTAAGTATAACCTGGCAAGTAGCCCAAAAGTTTTGTTGTGCCAAAAGTAATGTTGCTTCAGCCTCGGGGTTGGGTGTCCCGAAATTTACTCCTCAGGCACACAGTGACGAAGTCTTTAAGGCTCTTATTAAAAGTGTGTATTTCTGTTCTTAAAACGAGAAAAAAGGAATAAATAGAGAAAGGCAATTATGACTGCTTTGTCGGTCTAAAGCAACATCTTCAAATTAGTGTCTGGTGACGTACCCTTGGGAAAAATGACTTTAAAAAGCCTTGAGCTCAGTTAAAGCGTTTCTTTTTGCAAACTTAAGTAGCGACCTTTATAATTGGAATTTCAAGCTTTCTGTTTACCTCCAACTAATAAAGGCGGTCTTGTTACTGACTGGCACGAAGGTGCGTATTTTTTACAGTGTGGTACACAAGGTAACTTTTATTTGTCGAGGGCTTTTTTGGCCAAAAAAAGTAATTTCCTTGTGTTAAATCAAAGGTTAACCCAACATATGTCAAGCAGTTAGAGGAGAATGGCATGCTGTTTGTTGGAAAAGACGTTGAAGGCGAAAGAATGGAAATCATGGAATTAAAAGGTATGTGTTTAGGGTTCACCCAGGTCATGGAAAACCTGGAAAGGATTTTCCAGGCCTGGAAAATCATTGAATTTAATTGTTAGTCATGGTATATCATGGAAAATTTTAAGTTATGTTTGGTAGATTAGTTACTGCAATGTCAAAGCAAGGACAAAGTGAGATAGATACTACCTGTTAGAGCGAACGACACGCGTTTGGTGGACACCAGATTGTGTATGCTGAACCGGGTGTGGTCAAAAAAATCCCCCCAAAATAAAAGTAGATTTCAGCTTCACTACGCAACAGACAGAGCACGTAATGAACCATTAGGTTTATTTTGCGTGTTTTGGCCGAGCACCAGAGTACAATAAGTAATCTAATACAAAAAACCATGGAAATCTAACACTATCTTCTAAGGCCCTCCAATAGCAGCTAGGAAAATAACGAGAGCTGGGCAACCACTAACAAGACACAGTGGTTAGACGGGGGCCAGAAAAAACCTGCCGAAAAAAACCCTGTAGGGAAAAAATATGACAGGAAATCTGGGTAGGAACCAGGCCCAAGCTCTGCAGCCCATCCTACGAGGCGATTAACAAAAATAAAAAATTATAGTGAGTGGTGTCGGCCTAGAATGATTGCCCACGTGCAATCCCAAGCTTAAATACTCACACGCCATTACCCATGATGCAACTACATTAAAAAGACCCAGGCCCACGGCCTGCTGCTCCCGTGCCGCAGAAATATTTAATTTCAGGCTAATTCGTAGCGACTCAATCGCCAGAAATTCCATTTTTGAAAAGTTTCGAAAGTGACCACTAAATCTAAGGCCATGGAAAACTGGGCAAGTTCATGGAATAATTCATGGAATTTGAAGAGCTTAAAAGAGTATGAACTCTGACATGGAATCTTTTGGTAGACTATCCCAGCGTTATAACTGAAATTTTACAAAATTATCATAGTGACCAAATTCAGATATGCCTCAAATCTTAATTTTTATGTACCACGTGTAAGATCAAATTGTGGCAAACACTCATTTGAGTTTGCCATAACCGTATTCCGGGAAGAGATTCCTACTAGTCTAATAACACTCAGCTACTACCAGTTCAAAAAACAACGCAAGCGAATTCTACTAACACTCAAAGGTAACAACGTAAAACGACTGTTTCTTATAATTCTTCATATATGTTTAAAAACGCCTTTCGATTCCGTAATATAGCGATGTTTAGCCTGCAAGTTGTGTTCCTCTGACCACCGTACACTTCTCTCAAAGCCATTTAATTCTGTCTTTTCTTCTCTTATTTGTTATTTTATTTCTGTTACTCTCTGATCAATGTAAATACTGGACTGAGTGTGGATAAAAATTGTAACTGAACTGAAACTCAGAGAGACTGTTCCAGAGGAGAGAATTGTTGCTGCTGTGAATTTCTTCGGGTGTTTATGAGCTGTTCCTTTTATTTCAGACCACCCATACTTTGTTGGTGTCCAATATCATCCAGAATACATCAGTAGACCGGTCAGACCGTCCCCTCCCTACCTGGGATTGATTTTAGCAGCTATCAACAAGTTACCACAGTACATTGCAAGAGGATGTCGACTGTCTCCAAGGTGCAGCATCAGTGAAGATGAGGATGATGAAGACGAGGAGTTAGCTAGGCTTCCAGAGTTTAATCCTTAGATTGATTTAAAGGAGTTATGTCCGGAAATGCTTCCAGCAGTATTTGACAGAATTTTGCGGTTGTACGAAAGGCATTGGATAAGACAGTCTGGGGAGAAAAACAAATTTTCGAGAGATAAGACTTTGACGGTATGACCTCAAGAGAAGACGTTACAATGGAAGCCACATTGAAGTCAAAACCGTCAGCATGGCTTGTAGTACGATTTTAAGCCTAGTTTCTATCTAAGATGGAAACTGCGGCTCTGAGATAAATACACACTACGCCCCATAGGTATGTGTGTACCCAGAACAAAAATTGTTTACCTTCGCACTCTCACAGCCATGATCAGGCCTTCGATCAGCAAAATATCGTGATAAAATTAAATATTTATATCTTTTTTTATTATGAGGATTTGTTGACATTCTATTTATTCGCCGAAGTTGTTGTACCTTGTGTGTACTTTGAAATTTGTGTACTGTATTTACAAGTTGTAGGTGATGATAGCCTGGTTGTTGAGGGGGAAATTTGTAAATCAAGGTCTCATATCAAGTTTCAGGTTTAGTTTATGTCTTATTATTTCATGTGTAAATGAGTGTTTAATTTTTTAATTCGCCAGCAATAGAGAGTATTCTCTCACGTGGCCAGAATCTATGCAAATTTATGGAACAAAAGAAATTTTTTACACAAGAAAAGAGTCCAACTCCCACAGGATTTGTTTAAAACACCAATATGGCCGCCGTGACGTCATGTGAATACGCTCTATACTAACTGCTGGTACGGGCCGAGTTATTGGCCAACAACCAGTGCTATGTTGCAAGCCAAAACTGCATACACACCCAACAGAGGTCGTCTTTCAAGAGAGGATTTCTTTTCTGCTTCGCCGACTTTAAGAAATTTATTGCGAAGAAAAGTTGTAAGCCGCGCTGCTAACAAAAACAATCTCCACTTGCCATTGCAGCATAGCTGCTCTATAAGTTGTACGGATGATGCTGCGACCAGCGGTAAGTCTTTCACTCCTTGAGGCAATTCAAGTCAGACTTAGAGATAAGTTCCAAATTTTGTATAGTATTGAATTCTACTGAATAGCAATTACAATGTCCTTCTAATTGGCTATTTTTGATGCTTTGAACTGTTAGCTTAATAGACTGTTTTTATCAACAACTTATTTATGCCAGAGTTTTTGTCTGCTGAGGAAATGATTACAGTTCAGTAGTTTCAAAAGTAATGTGCATTCAAACAGTTGTAAGGAGTGACAAGAAACTGCCAGCCGTCTACTTGTTTTCTTGTCAAGGAATCTGATTCTGAATATGGTTACGGAAATTCCTTTAAATAATTGTCGCATATTAAGTTTTTGTATTTCTGTATATATATATATTAAAACATCCCTTCTTGCAGATATGCAAAGCCAGAGAGGCTGGTTGCTTTTCAATATTCAACTTTTTGTCTCTGATGTTAGGCGCTTGTTTGGAAGAGATAAGTTGTATGTTAGACTAAGAGGCTGGGATCTAAGTAGATGAAACACGGTAGCGCCATGTAGAGTGTTCATTTGAATGGTCGCAGGTACATGTGCTCAAACTCAAATTGTGCCTTGACCATAGGAAACGCGAAAAAGTTTAATGGTATCGTGCGATGTTTCACTAATAGATACACAATGTTACCAAATGGACGCGAGAGCAAAAAATTTGTTATGATTTGAAGAAATAACACAACAGTTTTTAATTTACAAGACATGTTTTGGCAAACTTATGCCATCTTCAGTTGTACTGAGAAGGTCGTTAAAATTTGAATATGCTAATTACAGCGATTTCATTGGAAGCTAAATGTGACAGAAGAACAGTGAGGAAGGAAAAAGAAACAGCATAAACAACAGCTAGGCTTCACGGAAAGTGACAGGTTTACATGTTTCACCTGTTGATTTAGAATAGGTTTCTCTCACTTTATATACATCGCTTCCTTAATCTTTTAAGTGGAATCCAGAGGCGGCGGTATTAAGGATAGTGAAACATTCCTGTAGCTTTGGCATCGCTAGTTCTTCCTCTTCTTTCCCGGACACACCTGAATCCTTCTATCGCAAGACAACAAAGGAAGCATTCCTGTTTCTTGCACAGGCCATGACGTGACACCGCACTGGTCATTTTCCCCTCCAAAGGAATAAAGTGCCATCGAAAAATTATCCTGAAACAGATCGCTTTCTACAATTTCGAACACACCTGACGAAAAACAGAAAAAATTCCCGCGAAACGGGAGAAGGATTGGACGGGAACTCGGTCCAGTCCCCACACTCTTCAAGTCCAAAATAGCGGGCCAGCTAACTTGATGTAATAACAAGTGCATCATCTCAATGCAAGGCTTTGTTTGAGTTATTTTCATTATAAAAGCAAAACAAGCTTTTTGTTATCCAGCTCTCCTAACTGTGCATGGATGGTTTCATTTTTTCAGCTCTAACGGACTCGGAAAATTACAGTTCACCTCGATATTGCTCACTGAAGCTAATATATGTCTGTGTAGGCTACGTATGTATTGTCATGCTTCTTTGTTGATGGGTATTTAAAACAACTATTCAGGCTATTAGAAGGTCAGACGAAGATTATATGTTAACGAACCTTTTGATTTGCTAAATTTGTCTGGTAAAAATATAAAAAAAAGGGGCCTGACAAAATATGGAGACTTTCCATGCTTGGAGTAATGCTTAGAAATATGACGTGAAACTGACTATAAATCAAAGAAAAATTTAAGCATCTTGTAAAAAGATTGTTATCTGTACAACAGAACATCATTTGTGTTCTATGGTGGTTACTAGGTTTTCAAAGAATAAAATCACCTTTGTTTTGCTAAATTATGTGTTTGTTGCGCTAATCAGAGGCCCGTTTTAGATCAATTTTAAGGTAAGAATCGGTGTATTTCTAAACAACAAAACTGATTTGGCTTTGACAATTCATTTTCACTTACCAAATACAGAATAAGGGCTTCTTGTTAACAATTTGGTTTGTTTATGGCCTGAATTAGGGTCAAATTCCATTTTGCATCGCCTTAGAGGGGCATGGAGTGTTTATTCCAAAAATTCAATAAACCATAATAAGCCAATTTTTTCTCAACTGATTTTGATAACTGGGTGACTACAGTAAACAGTGGTATAGGTTTGGAAGTTATGCAAGAAGGCAGGTGAATAAAGTGAAATTTTGAAAAATGGCTATTTTGGGTTGTAATTTTAACATCAATTTTCGCCAAACTCTAGCCCCAGGCTCTTCTCTATGCAATACCTTGAGGACAAAGTTACATGCATGAACTGAAAGCTCTATTATAGTAGAGTTCATGGTCAAATTCATTTGGCAGCACAATTTACCAGTGGGGTCTTATCACACTTTCAAAATGCCCCCTGGAAGGCTGGATTTTTGGTGCTCAAAGGGCAAAAAATGAGACCCCCCCTGTAACTCCAAAACTAAAACTCAGAGAACT